TATGTTAAGTAACTTGAATGACTTTTAATAACTTAAATGTTTGCAACTTATAGTTGACATACTGGTATAATGAATGTTTCTATGGTATTCTTTGTATTGTCAGGACTGACTTAACTGTTTAGAGATTTATATTTTCATAAATGTTGTACTTACATTTTGTTACAGAGTTGTTTAACTGGAATTCAAACAGAAAAGCAACGTATGTCTGAAGCAATATGAAACTAGTGTGTATGCGTTGTTTGTATGAAACATTTTAATGTAATAAAATGGTTCACTTTTTGCCTCCGCTGCACCGCCTCAGGCTTTTCACTGTAATTAGAGGCTGCTACAAGACATTGTGATCATGTTTCTGCTTTTACACACAAAAGTTTTTTTTTTACAGCCTTTGATTCTAGAGAAGACAATGACAGATGACTCCTGACGTACCGGTAGCTATAAGTTGCGGAGCAGCATGTGAGACATGTAATTCATGGGGCTTTCTTTGTCTTGTTACCCAGAGTCAGAAAACACTGATAGTGCTGACAACCTCTCTCTCTCTCACACACACACACACACACACACACAACAGAGCTGTAAAATGATTTGATAGGCCAGTAATTGCTCTTGTGCTCTTGATGCCGAATGCAAGACAAGCGTGGTGAATATTTCTCCAACACTGGCTGACATTGTCATTATAATTAGGCAATGCTTGTGCTGTGCACCTGTGTGGAGCCCTGCACCAAACCCACACACACACACACACACACACAAACTTGCAAGGCAAACACATCCAGGATCAAGCTGTGATTGGCCAATAAAAGCCTGTTGCTTTGGGCTACCATTTTAATTTCCCAGTGGTGTCACTGTGTGTGCAAGTTTGTGTGTGTGTGTGTGTGTCCTGTCTCCACGGCAACATCAGGTCCACAGCAGCGAAGGGCTTGGCCACGCCTCTCATTGTAATGATGATGAGCTCATGTCTGTTGGCTATTGGGGCTGCTTCCAGTCCTTATGACAACAAGGGCTTGACTATCGCTAGCACATTCCACCTGCAGTGCCATGCAGGCATATAATTACACCACATGTTTGTTGAAAAGGAGGTCTCCACAGGTCATGCAGTGTGTGTGTGTGTATGTGTGTGTGTGTGTGTGTTTCCTACAGTAGGTACAGTATGACATTGCCTCTTATTTTCTCAGTCTTAAAATAGCCTCTTGGTTGTCAGCTGCGTTTACCTTATAAGCCAGGGCCCTCCTTTTGTCATCCTTGTATTTTGTCAACTGTAGCCTCTATTTTCAGCAGTGGGGAAGCCTATAAGTCACCCATATGTATCTCCCTCCCTGTTCTACTCTCTGGCAGACCAGATAAACCAGCCACGACTAAACGCTTTAACCTTATTGGCAGCTGAAATTTAAGTAGAAGCAAAACCCTGCCCAGTATAAGCTCAAAAAAAATACCCCAAATCCTCCTGTTTGAGTGCCTGTGTTTGACTAACTAAAAGCCTTTCACCAAATATGGCGTGTTTGCACAGGGAAATCACACCAATTACGGGCCGCCCAAAGACAAAGTGCCTATGAGTCTGTGAGGCGAGGTGTAACAAATTCAATCGCTGGAACACAACAGCTAAAGATCAGGGCTCATTTCATCCCTTTCATCTCTCATTCGTTCCCCACATTTCCCCACTGTCTCCACACTATAGACCCCGGTTTGGAAAGATAGCTAACAACAAGCCCTGACCCAATTCCTCTGAAGCATGCTGGGAGGAGAGACACTGATATGTGAAGGCTGCCTTCTCTGACTCTGTTGCTCTATTTTGATTTCAGGTGAACAGTGGGAGATGGGAGATGTTAAAAGAGCTGTTTGCCTCTGATAGGTTGAAGAGATTACAGCGTCCACTCTGCGCTGCTGCGTTTATATTTTTTGTCTGTGCGCGCAGGACTGTGGAGGACATGACACTGATGAGGGTTGCAGACAATAGCTTAAAATGTTTGATCCAATGTATTATCCTTAACTACACATTAAATAAGTTATTTTTATTTCTATTTTTAGAGAGTGAGACCATTTTCAATGGCACCGGTCCAGCAATGACTCAGTGCAGACCAAAGTCCATTTATTTTTCTGCCGACTGACACGTCACCACTGAATGCCAATAATGAGGATATTCAACAATGTCTGACACTGAATTAAAGGCCGGGCTTTTTTTTGGTATGAAGAGTCATTAAAGTGACAAAGGTGGCAAACAGGATTTGCTCTGATTACACGCCCATGAAAACTGTTGCTTGTTGTTTTCAATGATCCCCTTTATCCCTGATCACATAACATTTATTTAGCTGTAAACTTTTTTTTAGAAAGTTCAACTCTTGGAAACAGAAAACAGAAACAGAAAACAACCAAACCACAAGGTCCATTTAGTAGCTACTCTGGAGCTTTCAGTCAAACTTTGAGCTTCACCATCCAAGCCAACATAAACAGGAACCAGAAGACTTTTTAATAGCTACAATTTAGTGATTTGGCAAACTCCATCTGATGATGAAGATCATGTTATATGTGCTTTCTTTACTTTGTTACCGAGAGTTAGATTGATACCACATGTCTGATATGAAGCTGCAGCAGGAGACTGTTAGCTTAGCTTAGCATAAGAACTGGAATGATAATAATTAACATTCTATATCTCTTTCTTTAATCTGTACAAAAACCGAAGTGTTAAAGAAACAAGTTGTGGTGTTACGCAAGCTCATGTGTTTCCCATGACAGTCTTCCCGCTAAGCTAACAGTCTCCTGGCGATTCATAATTAACAGACAGATAATAAGAGTGGTATTGATCTTGAAATGAACCAGTTCATTTAACTATTTATTGATATGGTCTTTTATTACAACTTTTGGCAACTCTGTTTCTGAGTCAAAGTTTCATCCGGCTTCTTTCACGGGAGAAAAAATGTTTTTAAAAAATGGGGAAGCAGTGAAGTGAAAACAGAGATGGAAAGCATTTATGCGGCACCACTGGCCGTATCTTTGAAAATGTCTAGAAGGGCTCTAATTTGCATTTGATGTGTCACATTGTTGTCATGTTTTGTGTCTTTGCCAGAATGTGAGCCGCCATCCTGTCAACCGCAGCCAGAGCGGAAAAAAATACCTCCTGTGTTTTCCAATGATATTCTGAGTATTGTCTCTCCTAAAAGCCTGAAAATGCTCATACCTCCATGCACAGTGGTGGGGAAACTGTTTATACATAAAAACAAGGTAACACACATATTGTAGCCAGACAAGTTATTCCTCTGGTTTTTCAGTTAAAGGAAAATGTCACTTAATTCATGTAAGTTCAACTTTTAAGGACAACCCAGGGTCAAATATGGACAAAACCTAACTCATTTCATCACATTTATGTTATGGTAACATGAGAGAGCACCAAATAAATTCCAACTGCAGCAGGATACCATTCGTAGATAAACTGTTTGCCTGTGCATCTGTAAACACTTAAACCGGTTTTTCAGCTGCGTATCATCTTACAAAAACGGTCAACTGCAAAAACAAAATAAAACATTGGTTCATTTCATATCTTCTACAGAGTGTAACTGAAGTGGTACAAAGCACCACTTCAGTTACACTCATACAATACAGATGAATATTGAACATTTTCTCAGATCCTGTTATTTTATTGATACTTAATGTTTGATCGAGAGCACTTTTGATCGATAATTCCTGAAAACAGATAAAACAGAGTATAATAGATCATACAGTGGAATAATCTTAATTTGCCAAAACATGGCCATTTATTAAATAACAATAACTTTTAGTGTATTTTTTTCAGTGTAAATGTTGGATGTGACTCACAGCCGTATTGTATCTTCGCTTTACTGGGCAAGTTTTGTTAAGTGGTAGCAAGTGTTAAGAGGCGATTTCATTGTAATCGCATCCAAGTCATATGATCAACCGGGAAACTGTGAAAAGGCAGGTCAGGATCAGCTGAGTCAAGCTAGACACAGGTCGTCAGGTCGAGACAGGATGTGAGGTAAATAAAAGCCTCATATGGTCTCTAGATGGTGTACTGTAAATGTGAATGTGGGGAAGTTATGACCTCACATGGTAATTGATATTGGGCAGACATTCACCAATATAACTAAAAAATCAATTTAAAAAAAATACTCTCAGTTAACATTCATTTGTTTGAAACTATATCAAGGTTATAAAATGAGTCCCAGCCTTTTTTAGTAATGAGGACATCAATTGTGAGCAGTTGAATAAAAGTGTGCTTTTTTTATTTATTTTTTTGTCTCAAATTATAGCATAGGTTTTTCAGAAGCTTTAAAATGTAATAGTACCAAGTATTTCATCAAAAAACGCAAAAACAACTTACATAGGTGAGAAAAAATAGTTTTCTGTAACAAACAATCAATTTAATCATCTTTTGACCCTTCAGATTTATCTTAGTGGGTTCCTACCCAAAGGTTGGGAACCACTGTCCTAAAAAGATCCTAAAAAGGTCTATGAAATCTGTTCTTCATAGATAAAGGTATTGTCGCAGAAACTTGATTTCATACATCTACTTTGTACATTTATATTCATGTACATGGTTCTGCTCAAGGTTTATAGCCTACCTGTTTAAAGGACGATTTACCTTTTACCTTTTGCTCTATGAAAAGTGGAATGAGAGAACTTCTGTTATGAATTGGGGCTATATAAATAAAATTTAATTGAACTGAATATGAATTAAAATCATTAAGATTTCAAAAGGTGTATGAAATATGTTATTCAAAGATAAAGGCACACTTTATGTTAAAACACTATGTCTAAGAGGATATAACATTGTTAAGTTTATTTTAGGCTATTTGTTGTGTTTAAACTTCTTTTTCCCCTTCTGCTCCTTGTAAAGCACTTTCACCTTATGATAACAGCTACGTTAAGCACAGTTTAGTGAATTATAATGGGACGTGGGTTTGTTTTATTTTGAAAGTTGTGACAGGACACGGTGGTGTTACACTATTTGTGGCTTGACGGCGGTCCACTGGTTTCCCAGGCTGACTAACCAGACCGCTGTTCAAACAGGAGACATGGGACTGTGGAGACGCCGAGGGGGTGGGGGGACTCTTCATCACAACAACTCAAACCAAAGGAGGGAAGCCATATCCAGCTCAAGACGCTGAATGGAGCCTTTACTTTTTCAACTTTATCTGTCATTTCTACACAGTGAAGGACCGGAAGTGAAACAACTTAAATGACAACTGAAGTTATCCGTGCATTTTTGATACCTAGGGCAAAGTGCCACACCTTCGCTTAGCGCAACAGGTACGTTGAAACAGCTTTTGGTTACTCTGATAGTCTTTTTGGTGTGCTTACATGAAGAAAATAAAATGATGTTGTAAATTAACTTCAAAGTGTGTGAAAAGGGTTGTTGACGCGTTGTTAGACCAGTTATCCATAGCAGCAGGTGGACGTTGGTTAGTGAGCCATATGGCCAGTGGCGAGTAACAAAAGCCGTGTTACAAACACTGCATATTATACAAAACAAGATAGTTATAGGAAACATGTATGTACAGTTAATGAAAATATAGGACAGTTGTGGACAATTGTTTTGAGTAGTCTAGGCAAGATATCAGGCAGTATAAAGGTGAGTGCACACTTGTTGCACATAATGACACACAGGCTATTTACACATTAACTATAAACTATTTATTGCATGTGTATAAACTGTAGGAAGGAGTAAGTAGAGGTAAATGACCGCATTTTTTTTAAAGATCAAAAAAACTAAAATAAAGTCTTAAAGATTTTAATTACTTGGATTTTTCATATATAAATTATAAGTATTATAAGTGTTTCTGTAAATATGATTTCCCAACATACAGGTCTAAATGCGACCTGAAACAAACTCTGATAAGAGAATTGCAGAATTTAGAAAGAAAATTCTTGGCCTACAAATACTGGCATTTAAAAATAAAAAGTCACTGGTATTGGCCTGTAAAAATACCTGCCATGTGTGAGTTTTTAATTCTTGTTGCTAATTTCTCTTATTTGATCAATTTGTTAGTCCATTGTTTTGTCTGTAGAGTGTCAGAAAGCTGTGAAAAATGCACATCATAGAGCCACCTGTAGTACGACTGACACTCAAGAAACCCAAAGATTTACAAAGATATAAAACTGAAAGAAGAAACAAATCCTTACATGTGTAAGCTGGAAACATTTGGCTTTTTTTTTTGCTTAAATAGTGACTCAAACGATTAATCAATTTTCAGAACAGTTCCCGTGTGTGTGTGTGTGTGTATATATATATAGAGAGAAAGAATATATGTATAGTGTATGTGTGAAAAAATAAAGCTGAAACCCATTAGGTTTCAGTGTGTCACGTACTGTGCTGTAAATGAGCCACGCTGTGTGGCAGCTGAGCTGAAAGAAATTTCCATCACACCTTGAGCACACTGCTCATGGGCAGGTGAAGTTAATGAGTGAATGCCCGCATGTTATTGGGGACATTTGTTCTTTGATGGGATGGAGCGGAGAGGTGGAGGAGGAGTGGTCTCAACCAGAACTCATGTACACGGCCTTGGGCTTTGTTTGCACATCTAACACGGAGCCTCACTAAACCCCGGGTCACTTTAAAAGGCATGCACACTTTACGTCTGAGCCCGAAACTGCCATGTCTGTCATTTATCACATGCAACCCTCTCAAGTGTGACGTTTCCAGCCGTGTAGAGCAGCTGTCACACATCAGTGTGTGTCTTCTGACCTCTTTTTTAAGCTGAAGGTAGGCAAGAGTCACAAAATCATGAGGTTTACACACTATGCTAAGTTGCAGTTTGCTAAACCCCATTTTCTTGCCCTTTGTGGCCGACTCAACCCATGCGCCTTTCAGACAAAACGAGCCATTAAAAGTGTATGCAAATAATATTTGCCCAAGGTCTAGTTTGCTTTGCACCCGGGCTGCTACTGCTGGATGACTCGACCTGAAACAGGATATAAACATGGGAACAGAGCTCAGTGCTGTTGTTGAAATGGAAAACAGATTGTACACAGTGTTCTCTTTTAAAACTAAAGGATTTGTCGTGTGACAGTGTAGGGAAACCATAACCCCTTCAATCCCTTCGTGGAGTTTGGCTGTTGTTTTAATGACAGAGGAGTGTACTGTGGCAATAAACACACTTGTTAGATTAAAACAAGAAGGAATAATCCAAGACCACTCAAATAAAAAGACTTTAATATGGCGTGACTGACACTAAGGCCTGCAAATCTTCATTGTTGATTAATCTGCCTTTTATTATTTTCTCAATTATTCAAATAGTTGTTTAGTTTCCATAAATACAAACTGCAGCTCATACCACCCTGTTGTAAATATGAAATAAATTAACCCTGTAAAATGTCAGAAAAATGTGAAAAATGACCATCAGTGTTTCCCAAAGCCCAAGACGACGTTCTCAAATGTCACCCAAAGATATTCAGTTTGCTGTCACAGAGGAGGAAACCAGAAACCAGAAAATATTCACATTTAAGAAGCTGGAATCAGAGAATCTTTCTGACAAAAATGACTCAAACCATTGTAGCTCTAACTGACACCAAAACCTTACACCCAATATACTGAGTAGGCCTGCAAGTATGACTATTTTGATAGTCAAATAATCAACTATTCAAATTAGGAATTGCACAATTACTCTCTGGCTTTGTTTTAGCTATCAGCTTTTAAATGTAGCTTGAGTTTTTTTTTAGGCATCTAAATCTAAATCTAAATGAACTTCTGTAAGTGACAGAGTAGGCTATAGTTACTAGAATTATGGTAGAGACAAATTAGGGCGGCAAAAACCTAAGAAGTGTCCAAGAAAAGTTTCTGACGTTCCATTCCTGCATGACCCCGCAAATCCAGCTGCGTTGCAAGGTAACGTGATCTGGGCAGCAGGACTGCCTTCTAGGGATGAATGAGTAAACCACTATCTGTATCTGTATCTGTTCATAATATTAAAGTATCTGTATCTGTACTCGGAATCGGTGGAGCTTAACCCGGACGTGGGCATGACTAACCGGAAGTTAGTTATTTAAGCCTGAAATAGGTATGGGTTGATCAAAAGTTGCTAAATTTATTAGAAAACTGTTTACATAACAGCCTCAGAATTGCACTTCAAAACGATGTTTTTAATTACAATAGAAGAGAACTGTAAAAGAAAACAGATATAGACACATTTAACTCTGACGATACTCGTAAAAAGTACGTTTTATGTACCGGATACTCATTTCAACCGAGTACTTGCTCAACCCTACTGCTTACCACGCCAGAGCGATAGTTGGTGGCGGCAATGCACCTCAAAGTTGGTTTGCCAGAGAGTAACAAGAAAACAGGGAGGAAAGTGAAATTGTAAATACAGAGCAAGTGGAGTTGTTTTTGTTTATATGGAAGAATTTACAGAACAGTCACTGTACCGTTATATATACCATTTCCATGATAAAAAATTACATGTAGTCTGCCGCAAGAGAAGATTTTGACTTTGGGTGCCTGCAATAGTTCCTTCTTTGCATTTGTTGAGGTAAATGACTCCAAGGACATTTTCCAAATATTAAAACCAACTAATAATTTGATAATTTCTCATGTAGTAAGAAAGTTGCTTGTTTGTCTCCATTTCATATCATCATAAAATGAGTCTTCGTGGAGTTTGGCTGTTGTTCTGACTAGCTAATTAATTTGAAGAACATGAGTCATTATTTTTGACAATGAATCAACAGGATGATCAATTAAAAACAAAACCCAACTGATAACTGGACTGAAACGATAAGTTGAATGACTTAAAATAATGAGCATCAACTATGACAACCACTATAATTGTTTTAGGCATTTATCAAGCTAAAATGCCAAACTATGTCTGGTCTCAACTTTTCAAATGGGAGGATTTGCTGCCTTTTTTCAGCTTTATATAATTATTAATTGAATATTTTGTGGGTTTTGGACTGTCGATCAAACAAAACAAGCAATTTGACTTCACCTCAGGCTCTGAGAATAATAAATGGATGAATCTGCAGTATGGTGAAAATAAGTGAACAAGTGATTTGAAGACATCACCTTGGGCTTAATTAATGAAAACGGAAGTGTGAAGTGAAGTAGGTCTGCCTTTTTCTGATATAAATTCATACTAGCTGTACTTATTATATCAAACCTGGGTAAGATATGTAGGTGTTTTGTTGCCAAAATGGTTGTGTGAATGTTCACCCTCCTTTTTTATTCGCCACTGCATTACCAGCTCTGCATCATTTTGAAAGTGCTCTCTTCTCAGGCTCTTCGTAGGCTTGTTTACTCCCTAAAGTACAATTCTTAGCTCCTGGGTCAGAAGGATCCGCAGGAGGAAAAACAGCAGCCGGTCTGTTTGCAGTGTGAGAGAGGGAGCGTGAGGTGAGCAGGGCTATTGATAAGTGCGGGCAGCTGGGTAATAGAGAGGAGAGACAGGACCTGTTTTCATCAGCCTGCTGCCCAAGGCTGTCTGGAAAAGATGTGTGGACACAGCACATCATATTACACACACACAGAAGCAGACGTGAACACACACACTTCAGGGTACCACCTGACACTTCCAATTGGAGCAGCTGATCAATGACCATAGTCATTTGATTGAGCTCCCGCATTGTCCCATCGTTTGGTTAATGTGACTGTGTGTCAGCATGAATATGAAATCAAAACAAACGCGCTGCAGATTGTTCCTTAACAAGGCCTGGCTTTATAGAAATTGGTGGCCATGGAAACTCACCACACTTGCCTAATCACGTCCTGGCTTCTTCAAATCAGCCGACTGAAGGTCACCTCGTCAAGCGCACGTGTGTCAAGCACTCAAATCAAAAGTTGTAGTGTCTTATTTTGAACTGATTTGACTCTCCCCCTCCTTCCCCTTAATAGCAGATCTTTCTTCAATTTCTTCTCTTTGTGCGAGCCGTAATTGAAAAAGTCACACAGTAACATCACTCAGCTAAATCGCCGGGGCTCTCTCATGGGAAGTGTTATCAGGTGTGGGAGGTTATCTCTCATCTACTGTACATGCAGGTTATTAAAAGCAGGATAAAGCAGTGGGTGAGACGGCAGCACTTTCCTTTCTTTTGTCACTGCACCGACTTAAAAATCGCGTGTTGACATTTCAGCTGGATTTTAAAAGCCTCAGAGCTGATAAGAAGCCTAAATTGACCACCTTATCGAACGCCATTGTTCTCTTCCAGCCGAGAAATGCAAGAGGGTCACACCGTCCGCCAATGACTATGAGGAAGTCCTGCAATAATTACTTTGTTTCCTTGAGCACACATGTGAGATAAAAGCCGGTTGCAGCTTGATGAAATGGAGTTTGGTTGTAGATCAGGTTTGATTTAGCACCCAGAGGGATGAAAGATCACAAGAAGAACGAGGCTGGATGTTGTAATTCAGATGATATTAAGAATACTGGCGACCTGTCCAGGGTGTACCCCGCCTTTCGTCAGCTGGGATTCGCTCCAGGCCCCCCGCGACCCTGTACGCAGGATGGATGATATTAAGAATTGATTGAGCATGTTTAGTGATTCATAGCTTGGGAAAAAAAATATCTTGGGAAATCTTGAGGGTAGAGATTAATTGTAGACCCACATATTCATACGCACAAGGTTCACTTTCTTAGCTATTTGCAGAGCTTTAAACCATATCCCCATGTCTTCTGGAGATACAGTTAAAAGGTCCAGGGCAAAGGTGGCTTTATTTGCATAGCACCTTTCAAACACAATTCAAAGCTTTACATAAGAACAGCATTAAAAAACAAAAATTAATTAAGTAGAATAAAATTGCATGAATGAGAATTAAGTAATTTTTAGGACGAGGCCACTTTTTGAGCATTACAGACAGAATTTAGGACACCAAGGCCAAAACCAGCGGTGCGGACCCTCTGTTGCCCTCGTGGTGGTAAAAACCGAATGAGCAGATTTGCGGTAAAAAGCAGCTGCTCAGATGTTGGTTCTGTCTCTATGGCGCAAACAGGCACCAGCAGTTCCAGTCCAGTGTTCGTGTGTGCACATGATGCGTTCAGGCACGCTACTGTGTGCAGGTCAACCACATTTTGGCAGTGCTAGAGGCCAGCACATATCACTTCCTTATTTAACAGATTATTATTTAGTTTTGCCCATCAAATGTCAGAAAATAGTAAAAAGTGGTGTCTTAAAATTGCTTGTAGTAGCATTAAACAGAGGTTTGTGAAGAGGTCATTATAATTAAATGCCTTGTCAGTGGAGATAGGCAGGGTGCGATTTGCCAGGGGGGATGCGTTGGATTTCCCCCTTTCTCATTTCTATGTCCCTGCCTCTTCTCCATCCATCCATCCATCGTCAACCGCTTATCCTGCGTACAAGGTTGCAGGGGGGGGGGGGGGGGGTTGGAGGCAATCCCAGCTGATATTGGGCACAAGGCGGGGTACACCCTGGACAGGTCGCCAGTCCTGGCTCTGCTCAATATTTTTTATCCCCCCCTCAGAGTTACTACTACTTCTCCAGTGATGCAACGGATCACAAAACTCACGGTATGGATCGAGTTTTGTTAGGGTTTGCTGTGTGTCGAAGGGAAGGCAGTCGATATTACTGAACCTGCAATAAATGTCACAATGTGATGGTCTGTTTCTATGATGACAAGCAGCCCAGTGTCCCTGTTACACCAGTGAACATACCCGAACACACAGCTACGGGGTTTCACTCAGTGACAATCTTGAAGGCGACGGCTTTTAAATCAGTCGCTCTCCCCTTACCCACTCACTGTCTTTTCTATCTTTTCACTGCAACTCTGCATCGCTTTGATAAACTATGAGAAAAGTTTTCTCATAGGGGGGTATTGTCATGAAGAAACCCTCCCCCCTCAGAGAACTTGGGCGGTGGCACCTTTTTTTCGTCACTATTTTAATTCTACTTCATGCTCCACCATATTTTAGTGTTTACTGTCTACTTCAATCTGCTCCCTTTCCCTTCAGCAGCAGGTGCTCCTCATGTGGAGGAGGTTGGTTAATGACATAGCCCATCGAAACGAAAGCAACATGGTAGTTAATGAATGACATCTGAGAGACAACTCTCTCTGTGGTTGTCTGCAGAGTGCTAAAATGGGCCCACCCAAGAAAAGTCTATATGTGGGAAGCACTGGATCGTAGCGTTGTAAAGTCCCGCCGTGTTTCTGACTGCATTGACATGATAGCGCATGATGTGAAAGTTCAAATTTCAAGAAAACTGATGTGTTTGAAACACAAGAAAAAGAGCAGTAAGCAAAAACAACAGCCTGTTAGACTGACGGCTGACCAGTTAGCCCACTTTTCCATCACTGCACTCCTCCTGTGTCACCCAAATGAACACGATCTCCCTTCTCACCATCCCTCCACACACACACATACACCAACACAGACACTCTGACCGGCCCAGAGTAGGTGTCAAGAGATAAATTACGACTTTATAATGTAACACACAGCTTACATACGCCAACCGTTTCACGAATCAGGTAACTGAGCTGAGTTGTAACAGCAGGGTCAGACACTCAGGAGAAATATTCATACCTACACCTCAGGGAACAACTCTCCGAATGTGCATTCAATTACTGCCAGTAGATAAGAGAAACATTTTTTTAGGGATCTACTGGCAAGCCTCTAACGTTATTCAAGCTCTCTGTTTTTGTCTCTAAACCTCTTCTACCTGTATTTAATTGATAGTGTTGGAATGCACAGTGTTTAGACCAGGAACTCAAACCCACAGATATACAGAAATGGTTGTGGATAGATTTCACTCACCCAAGGGCACAACAAAAAACAAGCGGTATCAGATATGCAACAGAGTATCTCAAGGAGGTGACTGTGTGTTTTTGTATTTTGAGGTGATATGAGAGTCCGGAGATCTAATCACTACAGTAACTATCACAAACAAACACCTGGTTCTACATTTTCCACATTAAAGGTGCCCTGCTGAGCTTTCTTGTAAACAAAGTTTACATTCAGTGTTCCTCACCAAAACACATTGTTTGTATCCATAGCCTGTATAAAAGAAGTGGACGTAGCCACTGTGATGTTAATCATTTGTTTGTGTACTGCTGTTTTGAAGCCTCAAGTTTGGTAATTTGACCGTAGCCATCTTGTTTTTTTTCTAACCAGACGTGACCACATTCGGACGAGAAGTTGGAGCTAACTAGCTTGGTTGGTAAGATGCATCTGTAATTCATGTTGCAGTATTATTTAATGCGAATTTTGGCTAGCGAAAAAAAATGTACTTACTGGGGGAAAAAATTTAAAGCCGACTCCTCAGAATGAAAAATATTAATATAGATAGTACAGATAAAAGTACCATAGCAACAGAAAAAAAATTATCAAATAGCTTGTGAAAAATAAGGTGTAAACATAAGTAGGCAACTGAGTTAACAAGAAGTGATTATTACATATCTCCGTGTTTCCGGCAGCGTTTTATAGTGGAGGTGCCTAAAATAACATCTGAGGAAATTCTTACATTTTTATGAAATATAATTTCACAACAAAAGCTACGTATTATATGAGTGAGGTGATTGTTTAACTCGTAATCCAGTAACTACATTAAACAGGAGAGGGTTTAACACCTCCACTAACCACCAAACTCTGAATCATATCATATTTTTAGTTATTTCTGACTCTAGTCTATTGCAAATCTTGAAAGTTAAACCTTATTAAGATTTAATAAGGGATTGGTTAGATTAAGATTAGCTAAAATGCTATTGAACCATAATCTCAATCTTGACTTGGTAATCGTGTATCCATTTAAATTACCGTTTTGCAGTTTTTTTCTAAATGTACAGATGAAACTTTAATGGTCTTTAAAAATGTATTCAGCTTATTAACCGAGGAGTAGAGGTACACACCAACCTTTAAAACTAATAACTAAAATTATTTTTTTCCTTTTCTAATGTTATCCTCATTTCAGAGACTTTTTCAATTGTTACACACAGTAACTCCAGTTTTCAAAACAAACTCTTAACAGGTAAAAGTCAGTTTCAACCAGACTCTTTCCAGAGGAAGAATTATTTTAAGCCTTATCTTTCCTGATGAAATTTTTTCACCTGCAGCAATCTTTCAAAAAATGGCTCTGACTGCCATTTCCACGGGTATCCCCTGGATTTCAATCCAGCCCACATTTAGGGGACACACTACAGCAATCTCACTTTTATTGCACCCGTTTCTCCAAGATGAAATGTTTCAATTTCCTCTGGGGGAAACTCAGAAAGTGAAAAAATGGGAGCTCGGCCAAACTGCCAGCGCTGAAATATCTCTCCCTTTCAGTAATCGTCCTACAATCTTCCCTATCTTAAAAAACAGGAGCAATATATAATATATTGAATGGCACAGGGAGCAGACGAAGCACTGCTATTGCCAGCCAACAATGGCCAATATCTGAATGAATGATAGTCATTTGATGCACAGATTGAATCCTTGATCTCATTATGAGTTTGGAAAGTTTCCAGGGGAACGACACCATTGGTCAGCTGGATGTTCAGCTGTTGGTTACTGTAAAGCCTGAGGGAGGCTTTAGAGGCCCGAGGGGAAAGCCTCATTTCTGACATCTTAGTTTATTGTGAATCCTCTGATGTGCTTTAACGCTTACAGCTCAATCTGCCTTCTTTAACCTCCGTATATCTGGAGACATTACTCTATGACCTCATGTGTAAGGTGCATTCATGAAAAGTTTTATTGCAGCTCAATTAAAGCAACAACTTAACTTATTTTTATACAGTTGTGGAAGATTTAGATCCTTACAACCCAACCATATTAAACACGGTAAGTACAAGTTAAAATCCTGCATTTAAAATTTTACTTCGGTAAATGTACTGCAGGATAAGCAGAATTTACTCAAGTATCAAGAATTTATGCTGACTGTGCCCTGTCAGAGTGAATATTATTATGTCATTTATTACTGATGTATTAACTTGTTAGCAGCATCTTAAGGTTGTAATTGATTGATTGACTACTTAATATACACTGTTTGGTATTTTAATCATAATATTTCGATGCTTTTGAAATAATAATCAGAAACAGTTTTGATAATTGAACAATCATCAAAGCAACTTTATAAAACCAAAACATTAATTACTCTTTTCCACCTTCTAAATTGTGAGGAGTTGCTGCTTTTCTTTGTCTAATGTGATAATACAGAAAGTTGCAGATGAACATTTAATATCCAGGAATTCCCATCAGCTACACGGCAGGACAAACCTGAACTATAAGTGAAAACAAGAGCTGATGTTGATTTGATTTAGATTTTAAACTTGCTGCTTGTTAACTGTAAATTAACACAATAGCTTTAATGTTGTATTTAATTTAATGTTGAACAGGGCCCCTTTTATTGTTTTAGAAAATATGCTTAAAGTGAAAATTGTCATTTTCTTTGAACTCTTAAAATATGTTGTGTATAAAAAGTGTTTGCTTGAGCCAGTTAAAGGCACGCTACGTGCACGGTGATCAGGGTGATACCACCTCTGCCTCATTTTGAGCCAGTAAAAACCCTGGTGTTCACAGCACTAGCATGCAGTTTGCTGTTTTTCTCACTTCTTTATAGCTATTTACTCTACAAACACAGTGAGATGACAGCTGTGAGTTGATACACTGGAGCCAGCCAGCCGTGTTAGTCGTGTTTGTCTTGTCATTTTCTTCCAGCAGAGCTCTTGGCAGTTGTCTTTGACTTTTAATGTCACTTAGTTATCAGTACATTGATGTAACTAGCTAGTTACTCATTGGCCACGGCTGCTTGGAGGAGTGTTGTTAGCTGCTGGGGCTAAGATTCATTGCGTCATCTCTGCCCTGCAGGACTAGTTCCCCTCTGACTGAGAGGTTGTTTTTGCTGACCAGCAGCAGAATGGTTGGCCGGAGGCAGGTAACACTACAATCATATTGTCTGCCAGCCCAGAATTTTGCCTTGCAAATGTGCAACCCAACTTCATGCCGATGCAAAACCAGCCTTTTCCAGCCCAGTCAGCCAAACTTGTTTTCCATCTCGTCCAAAGCTTTTTACATTCCCATGATTTGACACATGAGAGGGAAAGTCATGAGATTGACCTCGGGGGGAAATATTCTTGAAAAGGTCGTGTTGTACCATCTTCTCTTTTACCCTTGTTGGTTGATTCTTATGTCTTTGTAGTGGTCTTAGCTGTGTGATTAATCAACATTTTGAAGCATTATCAGCCAGATAACACTCATAGTTGTGTGTTGTATGGGGAATAAATAGTTTCTTTGCTAGTTTCTTCTGTCTTTTCACTATGTTACATGAAATGGATGGATTCAGCAGATCTTCATGTAACGTGCAGTTAAAAAGCATTAAAGGTTCAAAATCTTATATAGGGGTTATAACAGAACAGGTTAACATGGTTTCGTTATTGCTTGATTACCTCCGTCACAACAATTAATTATCCATGTACTGTCATACAAGTCGAGTTTTTAGTGGTGAAAACATGGTGCCAAGAAAGAACTAAACATATTCAAACTCATGATTAATTTATAGCCATTCACTCGGAGACAGTCATGTCAAAGGACCATTTTAGGACTGTTCATTGCAACAAACAGATATGCAGTCGTATTTGGCAGAGGAGGCTCTGAGCTCCAAGATGCTCCCCTAACGGATCCAAGCAGCCTGCACGACTCCGAGGCCAGCACATTAAAACACCCCCGGGGGTGCAAAGAGCACAAAGCAACAGACACATATCGCTGAGATATGAAATATACATAATGCACAAGGCACAAGGCAAGAAATGCCACCAAGTAACAAGAAAACAGGAGGGGGAGGAAGCTGCTGGCAGCGGCGGAGGGAGGAATGCGGCTGAGCAATCAGAGGATTCAGAGTTGGAGCTTGTCAGAAGATTACTGACCCGCTTGAACGTGACTAGTAATTGTAAAAGTCAGCCGATAGTGACTTCAGAGGTCTTTGGGGACTAATGCTCCATTAATGTGATAGTTCCCGATGCCCGCTGGGAAATTACCTCCTCTCTTGCTCCCCTCCTGGAAGATAAGGGACACTTCAGCTGGGCGGGTGCTTGCCAATGCGGCAGTGTGTTAAATCAGGGTCCTGTAGTTAAAGCACAGCCGGTCGAACCACTGGGCCTCTCAGCCGCTCTGAGGTGCACTTGGCGTGGTACACCCTCTTGGCTTTTTCATGAGTGGCTGTGGATGTGTCGGAGGTCCCAGTGAAAATGCAGACGAATGTGTGGTGGTGATCGTTTCAGCCGGTTTACAGTCAAGCCCACGTCAAATCACAAGAGAAAGTGGAGGGCACACAAAGACAAGCGGACGCTACTCTGTCCAAGTTGACTTTGTCTGTGTCATCTGTGGCTTCACTCACCTCTGGCTCTGGACTCTTTTTATGTGCTGGCGCACAGCAGCAGCCCGTAGGGGGATAATTAGACGCCTTGGGATAGCTAAGTCATGCTTTGCTTTGGCACAAATAATACAGTCTTTCATGTCTTTAAAGGCATTAAAAAGCCTTTAATGCTAACTCGAGGAGCACTGTACATCAAGAGTGTATTCGTTGGTGCATTTTTCAAAACCCACGTGTACATCGTTCCCTCCAGGACTTTGCATTATTAGGTGTAGTCCCACAGCATAACTGAAGGCTGTTACATCACAGTTGCCTGGCTTCGCTACATCTTGAAAATTTACACGACTAATGGGTTCACAAATTAGTGAAGAAAAGGAATGATTACAAGAGCTATGGCACATTCCTTTTTGAAATGATCCAACTAACAAGTATTGCCTGTGTTGTCAAAGCCTGATATATCTTCAGTTGTATATGTGTACATATCCTCTGTGCCGTGAAGCTCCGTTGATGTCCAAAACGTCAATGAGCCACACTGCTGCACTGGATAATATGTTCTTTAGATAAGGTGAACAAAGTAGTGCAGCTCAACAAGTGGCTGAATCAGATATGCAGACCTCAGTGGTGGCAGTAGGCCCGATTTAAAGCATGCAGGCAAAAAGATGGTGCTGATGTTACAAGTAAATGTCCAAGAACAATGCTGCTGTTCCTCAAATCACAGGAAAACTCTAATTGCCACCAGAATTAGATTCTTCTTCCCTGAAAGCAGTATTAATGCAGATTTTACATGAAACTGCATTCCATTAAAAAAAATGGATGAAATGATTCTGTAGATAGGGAGTAGTTAGTGTTGTTAATTCTTTCTAGGCTTCATGATGAATTACCTGCAGTTCTGTTCAAAATCAAACTTTATTTAGTGTGTGGCTAGAACAGCAAGATATTCCTGGGAAGTAATCACTTAAAATCACAGGAAAACTTTCAACACTAGATCCTGCTGTTGTAAATACTTTGTACTTGTAAATACTACTGAAAATAGTCGACAACAAATGCGCTTTTTACTCTCGCTTGAATCAAAACCACAGTGCCTATTTATTTGAAGTAGTAACTTTTAATAACCTTTTTTAAGAGACTCGTTTATAGATTTACACCCTCATAGGTACAAATGGGTAGGGAAGTTAGACATTTTTAAGAGAAATCTTTTAATGAAATATAGTTGCGATAGATCTGCTTTTATTTGAAGCTGCACTCAGAATGTGTTGCACTAGTCCTCTACTGTTCTATAAGTACTTGGAAAACTGTACTTTCAACTAAATGTACAACAAAAGACCTACAGGGTCAGAGAGCTAAGGTTAGGAATAGAAACTGTTTTGTTTCGTGGACACACATCCTTCCTTTTATTCCACAAGATACTGTGTCCTCTACCTCTGTCGTGCTCTCTTTCTCCTTCGCTCGCAGACAAAACCATTCAAGACCCAGTGATTAATTATTTACCCGGGCAATGAAATGCCAAAGCCTAGAGAGACACACCACCAGGAGAGAAAAGGTCGCTCCCTTCGTGCTCATAGATACACACACTATGATACACACTCATACACACACAACAGTGATGGATGGCAATAACATCTTTATCGGTGCTTCAGGTAGACAGAGTTTTCATCCTCATGTCCAAACGCCGTCGGGACCAAGGGCAAAGCAAAAACTTGACTGATGAGGTGAAATCTTCAAGCGAGCCCAGAAAAAAAGCTCTCATTTAAAAACCACTCACATGTCAGAGGTGCTGAACTGTCCGATCAATAGCAGTCTCGGACTCTGTCAAAGTGTGTGTGTGTGTGTGTGTGTGATGATGTGCAGGCCGGCGACTGTGGAGCTAACTGTAACCTTTCCTTGATGAGCGAGCGCAGATGCAGATGGGAAAATGTCACCCGCTGAAAAAACAATAAATGTGCATGTTTTTAAAGAAGTTTAGTCGCTTTCAATTTTGCTGTTTAGTGGAAGGATGTTTGCGTGATTAAAGTTTAATTGCTTTCTTAATGTCCCTCCACAGCTCCACAACACAGCTGGCCAAATGGGTTGCCAATGCTGCAGGATGATCAAAAGGTGAGAAATGTGTCTGCGGTTGTTTGTTTGGTGCCACTTTTTTCTGTCTTACAAGTGAACGTTGCCAGGACACTATCTTATTATTGTTAGATTTCAGTGATTTAAAGGGTCGGTTCACAAGAATTAAATGTTTTTTCCCACATTCCTCTAGTGGTAATTAGCCAGTTTTGGTTTTATGTTTCAAGGACATACGTGTCTCAGAGCCTCTAAAAAAACGTGGAGGTGATTGGAAGGTAATTTGTGACGTCCTAAACAGCGGCCACACTCATTCAGTATATGGCTTTTACTGTATGAAACAGCTCCTCTGCCCTTTTTCTTGCTGGTTAATGTTTTAATTCGCACAAGGGTATAAAGTTTTTATGATGTTATTGGAGGCAGTCTTTATTTCAGGCGGTGTGGCCCACCTGCACTATAAAACCCTGCTGGAACAGGACAGAAATCAAATCGCTGGTTCAGTATACATTCACACAACATACATTTTATGCTATGTCTGTGTTGTTTATTTCTATTTGTGTATTTTGTATTTCTTTTTTTTTTAAATCCAGTGCCATAAACCGGTTTATTTTTTTTATGGCAAAATACGACATTCCCGTCAGGCTCAGCTGTGCTTTGTTTAGTGCTAATAGGCATATGTGAGCATGCTAACACGCTAAATTAAGCTGGTAAACATTAAAACTGCTTATCGCCATGCAGTGGCGGCCCCTGCCATATCTCTCAGGGGGGGCAATTGTTGCAATAATGGCTAAGATGACCAGCTCAATGGTCTAAGTCTGCTATGAGACAAAGATTGTTCCTTAGTCTACATACTGTGCCGTATTTGTGAACAGCTACATCCTGAAATTCACTGTCAATGTCTACAATCAATGAACAGTCCACTGTGAAAATCAACAGCCATTTTTCAGTTCACCCTCAAAGACCTTTAGATATAAAAGCAGCTACTTTAGCAATAATGAAAAAGAATGACTCTCACAATCATCTGATTTAGCTGTGACAAACCTTTTATTTAGGTACAACAAATCCAGAATAAAGCGCAGTGGCACTGGGCTGATGATGTGCAATGAATAAAATTATTTACAATTAATCTTGCATTGCAGCTAAGGAACCCGTCTCAAGTAATAGGCTACAGTGTAATAATGTCACATATATTGTATATGAAGGTGGATCAAACATTGCTATTCTTAAATGTTTAACGGGGAACAGAGGAGCACAGTATTAATTTTCATTCCTTACATTACACAAGACTAATAAGGTAAGCAGAGAGTTGTAAAAATTCTTGAATGTTCTCCACTTGTTATCCTGTAGATACACAGTATTATTAGGGATGTGGGCTGTATTAAAAGGATCCACTGTTACATACTCTATAATCACACAGTAACAACGAGCTATGTGCTGTTCTTAGCTTAGCCTATGGCATTTTACAATCTGAAATTAGCCTAGTGGCTAGCCTACTTTTCCTCTCCTCATAGCTTAACAAATTACATGAATTAGGCTATACTGTATCTTAAGTCCCTGCATCTCCCGACACAACACCTCGGTTAAATTTTCAGCCTGAACGGACATTTTGTACAGTAGCTGATCGTAGTGAGAGCAACAGGCTGGAGGACCGCCAAGTCTTTTACAGGTGGCAGAAGCGAAGCTCTGCTGCTGGGCGCATGACGTAAACACGTAAGTAACCCATAGAGATTGCTTTGCAGCGCCTGCAGTTCGAAAAAAACTGCCTTTACATGAAAGTGAGAGCGATCTGGACGAATTACAACCAGACTGAAATTGCCCAAAAGAAGCGGGACTCCACGGAACACGACTTGACGCTGATTGGAAACGATATTCAGAGACAAACTGTCTGTCAAAAACAGTAACAGCTAACTAACGGTGTGGTAGAAAGTGTGAGAAATATCCCCTGCCTTTCCCGGCTTGGCGGCGCCCTAATGAACAAACCGCCCCTGTCAACATGTTAGCATGCTGATGGTAGCATATAGCTCAAAGTACTGCTGTGCCTTGGTACAGCCTCAGAGCTGCTAGCAAGGCTGTAGACTCTGGCTCTGTTCAAAACGGGAGGCAGCTGCCTCAGAAGGCATCACTTCCAAGTGAAGGCATCTCTTTTAACATGGGTTTCGATCAGCCTTCTATGGCAGCACTTACGCCAACGCACAACGTCAGCTAGCCTTAGCATCAGCTAACTAGCCAAATGGCTAACAGATGCCTCCAAAATCATACTGAACAAACTTGGCTGGTTACAGTCACAGGCTAATATGATAGTTCAGTGTTAAGTTCTCACTAGCTTTTCAAAACTCGAAGCGAGAAAACTACTAAAAACTTTGAAAAACGTATATTTGTATACAAATTCGGCTTGTTTGTCCGTCATCTTGACCGGTTTTCGTAGGCTGCCGCAGCCACACTGGATTGTGGGTAATAGGTGGCGTCAAGTCACCATCAATGCTGCCTTCAAAACTGGCCATTACAGGGGCAGTTTGAAGGCATCTTACGAGACAGGAAGAGATCGTTCGAGCCGTTTGGAACAGCACTTGATGACTCGCTTTCCTGTTTCTGAGACAGCAGTTTAGCCCGTTTTGAAAACAGCCTCTTTGTCTTGTTATTAAATGAATTGTCGGGGATAAAAATGATGAGTCAGTTATTTAAATTGTCATTGTAGATTTCTTTATCTGCAGCTTCGCAGTGCCAATTCACATGTCTCCTTGTCCACATCATTATGTGGACAAGGAGCATGGAATGTCTCGTTCCATGCAGATAGTGAGAGGTTCATTTATAATATGTCTGCACTCTCTGCCTCACGTGGCCTCTTTGTACAAACTGTGAGTCAATATGCCAATAGCCATCACCCTTGGTTACTGTATTTCTTTGCAGGACTGTCTATTCATTAAAAACCTATGAGGCATCGTTGTCAGGGCTCGACATCGCTCTGCTTTTTGAGGTGAACCAGGAGACAGAACAGGGCCGGGGAACAAGATTTTGATTGCAGATTAATGAAAGGGCACGTTGTGATTCGCATACCAGAGTTGTAATCCCCCTCCCCTCGGCACTTTTTTTCTTACCCATGTCAAAGACACACAAGTGAATGCTTGTAGCACACATACACATACCTCCCTAATTGTCTGGAGTGTCACATTTCTGGGCTTAGTGGTGTTTGGGGTTTGGCGGGGCGGGGGCGTGTAGGTTACTGGGTCAACACCATGGCCTCAGTATCAGCAGGCTGACTCTTGCGGGTTCCCAACAATCCAAGGATTTTATTTTGAAAACTGGTACAAATTGAATAAAAGATATCAGATTTTTGTTTTATTACTTATTTAAAGGGACTGTGGGACATGATCAGAAGTTCATTTTAGATTTCTCAAATCTCTCTTTACTTATGCATTTTATGAGAAATCAGTGTCACAGAAGGCAACATTTACTGTAGATTACAGTGCAGCAGGAAACACAACTTCCCAGGTATATTTAATTGGACATCCATAAATGAGTTAGGGGTTCAGTATGCTTCAAATGAAGTAGTTTGTGCAAAATGTGTTGTTTGCGTCTAAAGGCAGAGGTGTTTATACCTGCTCCTCATGGCCACAGGGCAAAAAGCCAGTCATCACTGAGAAGGCAGAGACGTGAATCAACTCAATGTGTTGCATTGTGTTATAGTAAAAGTTGAGATAGGGTTAACTTCTTTGTCAGATGACCCTGAGTTTTTGTCATAGGCACCCCAATTGAGCTCGTGCAGAAGTCCCATTCAAATATTATGTGTTGTACATTATGTTTTGCCACTTAAAGGTGGAAATGTCCAAGAGGACAATGTGCCTTGCATTAAGACAACTAAAGATTAGGATGTTTATCAGAAGCCTAAAAGTTGTTGGTGGCATAAAATCCATTAGCAGCACTGCACCATGCATTATATTTGAAATCAGTATGATCAGCTTAAATCTGTGTAGTGAGTTGGTATAGCAGACACACACTGCAGATGTGGCTAAACAACGAGGGAAACATCTTGTCTGGTGCACCATCGGTGTTGAGAATGGCGTCTTCCAGGATGGAGGAGCTCCCTAAAAAAATCTCAAAAAACAAAACAAAACACAAAACAGAAAGGGAATTCCGACAGAGAGGGCAAAGCAGGAACTCCCCAGATTAAATTGCACCTGCTTATATGCAAAATCATTAAAATCAGAGCTTAAGCCTGAGGAGCTGCTGCTCCTCTCTTTCTGTGGGACTTTCTGTGCCTTTTTTGTCTGTTTTGACTTCATACATTGCAGCAAAAAACAAAAACTGAAATGTTTGCTCTTTGAAAATAGCTTGGAGATGAGAGCTGATGAAAATACAGTTTCTCACACAGCTTTTGTCCAGCTTTATGAATCATTGGTGTTTTATATATATATATATATATATAAAAACACCTTGTGTGTGTCTGGCTTCTCTGAAAGCAAGCTTCAAATTTCACCTTGGCAGCCAGGACTCAGCGGCAGCGCTGCCCAGGAGTGAGAGAAATGGAAAACATTCATTTTCTCAGCTCTCCACTGCAAAGGCAGACAGAGGGAAGGATGCAGGGTGAGGTAGAGGTGCTTAAGTCAGAAAGGGTGAGCATGTGTGTGTTAGCTTGTGGCTATAAAGGCGTAGGCGGGTGATGTGTTTGTGTGTCTGCTTGCCAGGAGGTGAGGAAAAAAAGCTGTTATTGAATCAGTCAATACATCTGAAAGTTATGTCCTTAATTCTCAGGTTCTTGCTAAGTACGTGAATACTGAAGAGGGTGAGATAAAAGCACAGAATAAGGAGCACAGAAACAAGAGTGGAGGGCACAACTTGAGAAAGAAGGAGGAGGAGGAGGCAGGAGTGAGACAGTAGATGGAAAAAGCTCGAGGGAAGGAGCTCAAATCAAGGAGAAGTCAAGTGCAAAGGGATAGTAGATTAGTGAGCTGCGACTACATTACAATGACGCTGAAAGAGAGACGAGGAGGAGGCTTGTGAGGAGGGGAAGGGGAGAGGCACCTGGAGAGGTGTGAGATAGAGGGGGCTCTGCTGGGGTCATGAGGCTCGCATGGTGGAGGAGAAAACAAATGTAAGGAAGAAGAGATGGTAGGCGCTCGCAGCAGGTGATGTCTGACACTATCTTCAAAAAAAAGCCCCCCTGCCAACACTCTGAATACCTTTCCAGGTGCATGTGTGAGATCTGTTGCTTATACCGTTGTAAGAAAACCCTCCAAAATTGGCTATCAGACAGTCATTACAGCCTACAAGGGGCTATTTAAGGCGTAGAGCTTAAATGAGCATTAATTAGCCTCTGACCTTTCAGGAATTGGGTCATGTTATTAAACTGAATCGACAAGTCTCTGGCAGAGCGCACGGTGGCTTGTAATTTACACAATATAAGACTTGCACAGCAGAGGAGCGAGCAGACGACAGCAGGGACTCAACAGAAACACCAGGAAATACATCACACCAATGCTAAATAATGGATCAGTGCTGCTTTATCTGATTGAGAATGGGAGCTCTTATTATGCTGGTTGCAGTTGAAAATGCCCCTTGTCACTCATATTAATGAGCTGAACTATGCGGCATAACTAGGGCTCATTATTTTCTTTAACAAAATGAAAAACAAAATGTGAATTAATTTGTGTTTCTTATCATTTGTTGTTTTTTTTCTTACTTAGACTTAGGCCTATAATCAGCTGCCATTTTTTTTGTCTCTGTTTGTTCCTTCAGTTTCTGTTATCGAAAAGTATTTTCTGAGCTGTAAGACCGTTAACTGTAAACTGGTGATCAGTATCTTCTCACAGCAGGAAACAGCTAATTATGTGTAGACATAAATCTGAAAATCAGTGAAGTATATCTTGGTATTTTTCAGTGACAAACTATGCTACTAACTACTACAATTATTTCTGTGAGCCTAAGAGATAATCTAGTATCATTAACTTCTACCGTAAAAAAAAGTTATCTGACATTTTTAGCATAATGCTGAGTAAGCTAGCATCTAAGAGCAGTCTGATTTAAAGCAGGTAATTGTGGAAAGTATTTGCTTTATTTCTGAGAGTTATAGCAAGATGAGAAGACTGATACCACTCTCACACCTGTGTGTTAAGTATGGAGCTAGAACCACTAAGCTGTTAGACTAGCTTAGCTTAAGCTAGGCTAACTGCCTCTTTCTCTGTACCAAATGAAAATCAAAAATTGATATCAATCTTCTCAGCTAACTCTTGGAAAGAAAGCCAGTAAGCGTTTTCCAAGATGTTTAATCCATCCATCCATTGTCAACCGCTTATCTTGCGTACAGGGTCGAGGGGGGCTGCAGCCAATCCCAGCTGACATTGGGCGAAAGGCGGGCCATACGCCATAGACAGATCGCTAGTCCATTGCAGGGCCCCAAGATGTTTCATTTTTCCTTTAAATGCTGCCGATTGTTTAGCTTTACTTATTTTCCTTTTCTCATTATTTTCCAGCCTTTTTGGCTAGAGCTAGGCCAATAAATAGCCAGGTATCAGTGAATATGTCGGACATAAAAAAACAAGAAATTGAAGTACAGAAATGCCAAACACCTGCGTTTGTGTTCGCATTGTGTTTCATCCTCTTCACTTACATGAATTTTTTCCTGTGGTTCCCTCTGCTCCGTGGAAGTCAGCAACACAAACAAAACATCTGACAGTAAAAATAAGCATTTCGCTGAACCAGAATTGGAGAGAGAAGAGTGCAGTCAGAGGCCTTTGTACAGTCTGCATAATATATCTGACATTCATATGAGCAGTGCAAATATTACCACAGCCACGGCCTGAATGCAGCCAGTATAAACATCAGGTGCATGCATGACTTAGACGAAACAGTGGCATTTAGAAAGGTACAACAGTGTATAGTGTGTGAGGGTGTTTTCATTGATTTTCACGGGATCATCTGACTCCTGGAGCCCAGTCAGACGGACAGAAATAGTCCTGTCTGTCTGCCGCCAAACTGATCCAGGAAATCAAACAGTGTAACTCAACGCCTTTGGAAGTTAAAATATATTGCAAATGCATCTTTCATTCTGTCTCGTCTCTGTAGCAGGTTTGATTCAAAGTCATTTGTGTTGAAATTAGAAGATGTAGGTGTATTTTCTGAACTACTGATTGTTTCCATTGCTTTTAAAGTCTAGAAAATGTTGGAAAATAGTGAAAAATATCCAGACTCTTTTTGATGTGGTCACCATGGGCTATGGTGACCACATCAAAAAGAGTCTACAGCCATGCTAGCATCTCTGTCCGGCTGTATTTAGGTACAGTGAAGGTTTTAGTTAAATGCTAACATGCTCACAATGACAATGCTAACATGCTGATGACCATGTTCTCCTTCTTAGTATTAGCATGCTAATATTTGCCAATTAGCACACAAAGTACAGCTGAGGGTGATGGAAATATTTGTTTTGCTGGCAGGCTATTTGGTCAAAAAAGTACAGGACAAATAGAAATTTTGACTGTATGATGGTGCCAGATCTAAAGTCAGGGGATCATCAAAATAATTCATCCTGAGGTGAACATGAATGTCTGAGCCAAATTTCTATCAAATAGTTGTTGAGATATCCAAGTCTGGACCGAAGTGTCCAACCAACATTGACAGTAGCTACGTACAACATTGTAGTAGCTACGCTGCTACCGTTGATAAAAAAATGTTTTAAAAATATCAAATTACAATTATACAATTACATAAAAGCAACAAATCCTCACATTTTAGAATTTAAAACAATACAATTCTTACTTGATAAATTACCTAAAAGACTAAGAAAGTATCGAAGTTATTCACAATTCGACGATCTGATAAGTCAGCTAATGGTTTCAGCACTGGATGTAACACTCGCTCCATCTGTCTCTTTCCCAGCTACATCTATGACCCCTCTGTGGCGGTGGATGTGAGGAAGACTGACTCCGCAGGCGCCTCGCTCTACCAGCCCCAATACCTCTCAGATGCGGCCCCCAGCAACGACCCGCTCAGCAGCCACAACAAGCAGAAGCAGGGCTTCCGCAACATGGGCTACAGCAAGTCCAATGACAGCACACTAAAACTAGAGGTGGACAACAACCATGTCAACCGCAGGCTGCACGCCGCACCCTCAGCCAATGAGGTGCACAGGCAGGGGAGCGAACCACTTCCAGAGGTGTACATCATCCAGCCAGAAGCTCTGGCACCGAGATGGGGGATGCAGGAAAAAGGCCCGAGCCAGGTGCCCATTTACCCCAACATAAACAAGTACGAGAACCAGACAAGTTATGGTGAGCAGGATTACCGTGCGACAGCGATTGGATGGGACAGCTCCATCACTCAGTGTGTGACTGGCAACGAAAGCCTGTCAGCGGACGAGGTGGACGAGGGCGTGGGAGGGACGCCCGAGTATCTGTGCGACACGGGCGACGAGGGTAGCGTCCTGTCAGTGGACATCCACACCAGCACCACCAGCCTGTCCTCAGCAGACACCAGGGACGAGCTCAGACTGCCAAAGACTCTGGACGTTTCCACTGTTGAAAGCGGGATCTCGGTGATGAAGAGCGAGGATGAAGAGGAGGCGAGGGACAAGAAGGAGGAGGTGCAGAGCGTCACAGACTCGATGGTGGCGGAGGCTCTTGCTGCTTTGGAGGCCGCCACCGCTGGGGAGGACTGTGAGTGACAGACCTCTGCGCTGCCTCTTGCTCGTCACCCAAAAACTTGTGACTTGATGGAGCATTCAAAACCACCATGAAACTTTGCCACGGTTCTGAACAACACCCCTTTTGTTTGGAACAAATGAAGGAAAACTGTGTTTACAACAAAAAAGTACAGATTTATTTTTGAACTCAAAGTCTTGGATATTTTTTTATTTTGCTCACACAGACAGAAGATAATGTCTGCCTTGTGAAGGAGGCGACTTTTCCAATGCTGCAAGGTTTGTGTAAAGCCACAAATGAAGAGACATCAGTTTGTAGACTGTGACTATCACCTTCGGTCTTATCAACCCGTTAGCCCTTTTGAATCTAGTGTATTTAACACTCCACCGCCCTTATATGCCTGTACAAGCTCACACACTGCTTTGCCACGTCCATACTTCCCTTGTACAGGTGCTAGTAAAAACAAACACGTTGCTTTTATCACACTTTTGCCTCATTTCGGGGCAAAGCTATGCTTATTGCTAGCATAGAATCAATATGTCCATTGTGAACACACAGTCCTTGCCATAACTCCCTGTATCTTCAGGAATCTCACCCTCGTTTCACTGAGAGGGTGAAAAACAAAAGGTCATCGCATATTTTTTATACACTACCCATGTTTTTTGTTTGTTCTCTTGTTATTTATAATATCTTTACTCGCATCGCTGTTGATTTATTGTGAGTAGAGACTGGACGTTGCTATAGTCTGAAGCAGAGCAGTGAGAGAGGGAGGATGAGAAGCGATCCTTATTTATAGCTTATTGTGTTGATTTCATCAGAATAAAACAAAATGAATGATGTATGTAGAAAATTAGTTTACACACTGTTCTTACATCATCAGACACATGTACACTGACAATTCTCACTGTTTATTTTGTTAATTCATGTAATTTATCAGAAGATCTATGCACACTTGAAATCTTGAGCAGGTTACCAAAGGATAAAAAAGAAAACATGTACATGTCACTAATATCGCCTTAGTTTCTGCAGCCTTTCAACCTTAACCAAACTTTGAGCTTGACAAGAACAGCTAAGGCCAAATCTTTGCTGAATAAAGGGGCCATCAATTCACCCTACTAGCTCTGTTTTTCTTCTTCTATTTTACTGGTCAGGCTATGTGTTTCTGTCTCAAAATATGTTTTATTGAGCCAAAGATTATACATACAGTATATTGTTGTGTCAGTGCTCATTTTCAATTATGTGAAAGATTTATAAAATGATGTTCATGCACATGTAAAGGCTATAGGATCGTATTTTGGGATCGGAACAATATTAAAAATAAGCAAATTAAAAAGAGAAAGGAACATTTTCAAAATAAAGGAAATGTATTTTTTATTTTTGAATGACAGGGTACCCAGTAAAATAGACATAAAATAAATGTAAATCTAAGAATAGGAAAATAAGTCAGATAAGGCAGTCTAGGAGCATTAATTTCCTGCCTTTATCTTCCCCCTTAGTCTTCCTTATCTTCCTAAACCTCTCCTGTTTCCCTGTCCCCTCTCGCACTCATTTACTCATTAAATAGAGTTAAAGTGCAAAAATATAGACAACAACTCAGGAACTTCTATGTGCAAGGCGTGATATGAGTGGTTGCCAAAAATCGTATTATATTGTGGTAGTCTGCCCTTTTCGAACATAACTTATTCTTCCCAGATGTATTGTGTTGGTTAGATCACGTAGCCACATTTTGGAGGAGGGACGCCGTTGTTTCTTTCCACGATTGTAAGTAGTAGTTTTTAGTTTCTGCTGTGAGGACAAATTGTTGTTGGGCTGTGGTAAAGTCTTCTTAAAGCTTCAGACACACCAAGAAGAATGCAAAAATGCTCGGGTTCTAGTGGTGTATTAATAATTTCTGAGATGTTGTTGAAGATATCAGGCCAAAAAGCGGCAACTAGTATACACCTATAGTACAGCGCTATAAAAAAAGAGTTGCTTCTGAGGAATGGCATTTATCACACATGGTTGATATGTTTGGATGTATGCTTTGTATTTTTTACCCCGGAGTAATGGAGTCTATGTAGCATTTTAAATTGTATAAAACAGTGTCTGTCTTTGTTTGAGACTTTGTGTTCGAGACTTTCTTCCCATATGTAATCTGGTAATCTTGAATACTCATTTCTTTTTTCCAGCTGGTCTTAAAACTTTCAGAAGATGGCGAGGTGGTAGGGTGCCCTACAGGCAGGAGATTAAATTGTCTTGTTGACGTTTTAAGGCAGTTGTCTGTTGTTGATTGTCTTTCAATTTCCAATCCTATTAAATATTAATTTGAAATACCGAAAAAAAAAAAAAAGACATTTCTTTTGCAGTTGTGTGAAGGAGCACTTTCGCGGTCTTTGACACTGTGGATTCCTGAGTAATCTCTTAAAGAATGACTTTGTCAGAAAAATAGGGATGTTATGAATTAGTTATAATATTTGAGGAACTCTTAATGGTGTTCTCTTTGTCGAGTAGTGGGATAGGGAGTTTTCCAGAGCTGAATTTTACTTTTTAATTTGTCCACTAGGAAGGGTGGAAGTTGGCCCGCAGAAGAGAGAGAAGTGTTGTTTCATAATCTCAACATCTAGACAAGTGATTTTTTTTCGTCCTTAAATGGACAGTGTTGTGCGGTATTTGGAGGGATTGAATGGATCAATATAATTTTATTCCCATTAATACTGTACCTTGAAAATGTTCCAAATAGGTTAATTCTTGGTTTGTGGATTTGTTATGTCCAGGAGTATATCATCTGCATACAGGCTGTATGGCCTGTGACGTTAGTTCGACTACTCCGTAGATTGCTTATGTGCCTAATAACAAACTAATTGAGGCCAGACGGTGCAGAGGAAATTACACGTGTTTTTTTAAAGAGTGTGTTAATGATAAATAAGGTGTTTTATTCAATGAAGTTTTAAACTTGTTTCACTGCAACTCCCCTTTTCTTTGTTTTTTTTGCCTGCCAAATCATTTCTACTTATTTTATTTGTATCATAAAATAAAGGAATATACTTTAAAAATTGGAAAACTGTGATGTACTTTTTTATTCTGATGATGATTTCAGAATAAATTTCAGGGGTATACATAAAATATTGTGACTTATTAGCTAGCCTTGAAGGAGAACACCCTAACCTAGGTCTGTTCACAATGTTCAAGACAGAAATACTTGGTGAATAGGCCTACCCTCGCTGGGCTAGTGAAAATTCTCTAGCTGACAAGCTAACCGCTAATTTGCTAGATGGCCGGACTAGCGCTAGTCAGTCACAAGAGCTCCTTGAGATTCTTTCTTAAAATAAAGAAATAAAGCTCTCCGTCATTTAGCGATACTTGTTAGAGCCGTAGCTTAGCTTGGTCACTACCTACACAATAAGTTAATAGGCAATATACAATAATAAAATACAGTAACAATAGTATTTTGAGATTATCTTCCAAACATTATAGTAAATGTTTAAAATGTCAAAAAGCAAATGGACCTTCTTGGAGATTCTGTGATGCTGCAGAACATCAAATGCTTGTTTGGCAGTGCTTCCTCCCTCTCTTGTTTCAACATAAACAAGTGCGATAGCTGTGGGACTTCCGTGTATAAACCTCGCCATCGCAGCAGTTAGAGCCTCGGCGGGTGGCGTCCAGGGCCCCGGGGCCTCAGCTAATGAACACCTCAGGGCATTTTCTTTGCTTGAGCCAGGAAGAAACACAGAGCACCTTGGAAACTTCCACAGCAGCAGTGACTCAAGAAAATCCTGATCGGCTGACTGACTTGGGCTCCTCGCGGCAGGAGAGGCTGTTAGTGTGTCTGTCTCCGTGTCTCTGTCAGTGCAGGAGGTGGAGCAGAGCCCCAACGATACCGAAAATAGCCCTTTCTTTGGATATTTATCTATTCATTTCACCCACCCCCTTCCATCTCCGTCCCTCTTGCTCTTCGCTCGCCGCTGTAATTGCTCGCTATGGCTCTCTCAATTATAGTGTGCTCTTTTCAAAGCTAGAAACTTGGTTCTCCCAGTAGTTGGACTTTGTTCAGGCATGGTTTTTACAAGAGCTCTAGTTTTAATTTTACTGATTTACAGAGAAATGCATGTGTTTTGAACACTATTTGGTCAAGTAGCTTTTGCAAATTATTATTATTATTGTTTTTACTTGCAAAATATTTTCTCTAAACTCCCTCACGTGTGTTTAGTTTAAAACATCACAGCAATACTACATAGGGCCTACAGCATGAGGCCCTATGTAGTGTGTGAATACATTCACAGTTTAGCTGAAGGTTGGATTGGAAGGTGTGTCTCTCTCTCAAGGGGGCTGTTGTGGTTTTATTTTCACTTCTCCCCCATGATGGGCAAAATAAACTAATATATACAGCGAGCGGCTCTTCAGTCAGCAGGGAAAATCACAAGCTGGAGAACAAACAAGCTTGTTCTTCTGCACTGACTCCTTCCAAAAGAGCAAAACCGCAATGAAAACATGTCTGATTTAACAAGTAGCCTAACTGTATCTACAGTATTTACAGTCGTACCACTTAACACTGAAGGAAACAAATCTTGTCAAAGATGATTTGAGGAATCAAATCACACAATCACACTGGTTTCTGCTCCAAAAACTGCTCAAATAACAGTTTCCAGAATTAGATTTTGTCTTTAGGAAATTCTGAATGTCGGTGTTGAGAAATAAGTCACACCTGCACCAAAGAGAGAGAGTGTGTGTGTGTGTGTGTGTGTGTGTGTGTGTGATTGTCTGGAGAAATGAGAAAAGAACATTTCCATCTATCTGTGGAGCGTGATGGCAACAGGATCTGCTGTGGAGTTCCTGCTTAATCAAACCAGTGACTCATCTTTTCATCAATGCACCCTTAAACAACAGAGCCAAGCTCGGTTTGTGCGTCACCAGATTACTTTGATCCTTTCAATCACTTCAAGGATACGCAGAAAAGTAGATTATGTGTAGACTGATTGATAGATAACAGCTGGGGATTTTTTTTGGCACAAATAGAAAATGTATGAAGTTGCAAAATAAGTTTCGGGATAAGCATCAAACTCAATATGCGCCATGAATAAACAACTATACTTTGGTCCCTGTAAACCACAGTTCCATGAGTCCCTATTTTAAGCAAAACATGAGCTTAAAATGAAAGTTTTGCATATTGTTTGTTCATGAATATATATCTACATGATCACGTCACTGCTGTCAGGTTGAAATCCTCGATCTCCAAAAAAGGAACTTAAACCCATGTTTGAGCAGGTTTTGTAAGGATTTGAAAACATTTGAAATGAAAAGCTATATCTTAGGTCACCGTAAGCTCCACATCAATACTGGTCTGCAATATCTTCAAAGTAAAATTCCCTTGTAGTAAAACATCAGCCTAAATACAGATTTTGCATAATGGTTTGTTGCATGACAGTGCATTATAGGCTTTATCTGAAGGGGTTTTAAAGTTTTATGAGTCAATAACGGTAAAAATAAAATGTACCAACCAATGGAGAAGTATTTAAAGGATAAGGCTCTATATTTTTCTACTATCAACATCGCATGAAACGACCAAAACCAAACTTGTGTCTGCCTGTCAACACAGTTTCTGCCTGTGCTTGTTTATTAGCATAAACAAGCACAGGTGCTCTCATGAGCCTCTAAAGACAGACACCATGGCCTTTTGGTTAAATACCTGGATTGGATCAAAGAATCCAGACTAGAAGCTTACTTATTATAAGACTGGATGTTTTTGGCCTTTTAGCATTGCGTTGTGTGTGTACAAAAAATTCTAAAAGCACATAAACAGTGTGCACCAAATGTGTATTGGTACGCCGCTGAAAATTGTCCCCAACTAATGGACTGTTGACTCCTCTTTGAGTAACGTTTGCTACAACTTACATTGCCCAGCTGTTACAGGAAATGTTGATCATTTGACACCGTTCAGTTGACTATGTTGTTTTCCATAATAAATGTTACCTCTCGGTATCCTTCACCGTTTCTCTCTACTGTTGTTGTCATCCCAGTGACTCAGTGAATAAATTTGCCTCAACATAACGGCACAAAAGTAGTTTTGCAACAAGGGAATTTGCACCGTAACCTGCTGTGCGCTGTAGATGGAGTGTTTGCAAGCAAACAAAGAGCACTTGTGTGTCAGATTCCTTCATGTTTTTATTAGGTCCATTAGGCAACTGGCTGTAGAGTCCCCGAGGTGTGCACGCTCAGTTAACATGTTTGTTTTTCTCAAGGCTTTGTTGTAGTTAATGATGTCACTCTTAATTGTGGCACACTCGCACTTCCTTGTCTCAGAGGAGCGGGAAGGACTTATAAGAGGAAATATCCCCTTAAAACAGGATTATTGTACAGATTCTGGGTTGTTAACTTACGTGTAAATCTGTACATAAACACAAATCTGAAGCTAGAAACACAATAAGCAGCATAAAGACAAACTGGGATTTTCTCTGAATTTATTTCCTGGTTTCCGTCTAACACAACACAGGCTGGATTTCAGGGTCAGCTGCATGCTAGCCTTTCAGTGTTTGTTGATTTGACCTCTTACTGTACTGAAAACCCGTTAAGCCATCAACACTAAATGGTCTCTCTCACCTTTAAATGTCTGGAAAAGAGCCCCAAAACAGCCCCTCCCCCCCCTGTTTTGGAACTCACCCAACATCCCTGGATGTGTTTCTGGTAATGTTTCACTCTGGTTAAACATTAAATTCCTTACCTGGAAACTGAATTTAATTATTTTCTTAAAGTGAAACTTCAGCTGTCTAGTGGTGACTAGCACAGATTAACAGCAGCAAGTACAGGTGATTCATAAAGTCAGCAACCTAACTTAATAGGGTTGGACAGAAATTTCAAACGTAAACATTTAAAAAATAATAATAATAAAAAGGAAAAAATAGGCACCATACTGGAAGCTGGAGGTCATCCCAGACCAAGTGTGGCTGTAGCGGCAAAACCACTGAGTGTACTGAACTGAGCAAGAGCGAGTTTTATTTCTCATGAGTTCAGCTTTTCATTTGTGAAAGAATTAATGTCCTATTTGTACCTTCAGAAGAGTCATATTGCTCTTTAGCAATGTGTAAGCCGTTTTCCAGTCATGGCTGCCCTCCCACTGTCCACTGGAATCACACTATTTTAGTTAAAGAAAGGTGGGCAGTGAGCCATTTCAGAAGGTCACTGCGTTTACGGCCATGATGTAGTTCAAAGGTGTTAAACATTGACTACACTTCCTTGCTCCGGTCCGAAATGTTTCCCTAAAAAAATGCCCCCTCCAGAGTTCACAGCTCCATGCTCTGGGCCGATAGCCAGGGACAAAGATAAGAAGCACTTAGCCTGGCATCGGCATGGGAACTCTGTCGCCTGGAGGCCTGAATAATTCAGTGCCTGAGATAAATTTACTGCTTATGAAGCCATGCAAAAGAGACTGAACAGAGCTGTATTATCTATACCGTTTTTATGTGCATACCTAATTCCCTCATGGGATTTTGAGTTGCCATCCCTCACCTGCATCTTTCAGACAGGTTTAATGCCCCAAAACCATCCTTGTATATGTGTGTATCTTTATAAACAGGCAGGTTTGCTTTTAGCCTACAGCCATGGGGCAGAGGGTGGGTGATGTCACCTTGTGTGCCATCAGGGTTTCTTTTCCACTGCATGTAAATCTTCCCCGTCAACACTTTGAAAGTCAATCCTCCCTCGGGCGCTGTCAAGTGACACCAGCGGCAGCCATGTGTCACTCAGGAGCCTTGTTTAATCACGTCCCCGCCGTTGTTCAGCGCGGTTAGGCATCGTGTTAATTATTTAGCAAAGTAATAAGGTAAATTAGCAGCCTTTTTTTTTTTTTTTAGCTCTTCTGTGGTGTCTTTAAGATCAGAAACTCATGCATCCTTTATCAAAACCGGGTATGTTTGAGTGAGTGAACCCGATAACGCTCAGAAGGTCAAGAGGAGACAAAGAGCCAAGGATGGTTAATCCTGTCCTGCGCATAGGCTCAAAAACACTTCTCCATCACCATCTCATCTCCATTATCTGGAAATAACATGGTAGAGAGAGCTCTGAGGTTGGCGGACTGCGTACTCGAGATGAATAAGACAAATTTTCTTTTCATTATGGCACGAAACGGGGAGAGAAGGAGCGAGGAGGGAGCAGGGAGGAAAGAAGGAAATGACAGAATAGATTGAAAATTCACTCAGGTGATGGAGGAGAAGGGGTGCTGGCTTTCATAACTGTACTCATGTCTCAACTTGTATACAGTGTAAGATTAAAGGACAACAATGAAGTGAATTATTTACAGCTGGATATGTATTAGTCATCTTTATTTGCTATATTTATTTATTTCATTACAATACAACAATAAAAACCCAGCGAATGGTTCCAACATATGAATAACAAAAGGTATGTTTTAATAAAAAAAAAATTGGGCACGATGAAATGACATTGACAAATCAACAAACACATGTTTAAAAGAACACGTTTTGATCACAAAGATCTGGGATCATTTGTATGATCATGTCTTAAGCTCGCAGGGGTCTTTAAAGGGCTACACCGGGGATTTCGTTTTGTACTTTTATAACGTTGCAGGCCTCGCATAAGAGATTATTTTTAAAAGAGTGATATATTGACCTTTAGTCTCTAGTATGGGCCCAGCAAAAAATAAACAAATACTGGATACTACATTTCCCATAATGCAATGAATGCATCGTTTCATGAGACACTCTCTGCCTGGTAAAACACCTGCGTCTTTCAAACTCTGTAACTCCAAGTTGTAAGAAAGGCTTTCTGTTTTAAATGTGTAGTCTCTGGGACAATATGGCTTGGTGGAGACCAAAGCAGAGCTAACAGAAGAGTGAACGTCGGACTTCATCAGGCAGACGGAAACTTGGACACTCCACGTGACCGCTGGTGAATGTCTGCTCGATGTGTGAAGAGGCAACTGTTTGCCAACACGGTTGCCAAAACAACATTTTAATAATATGTCATGTTGTGTTTACAGCCACACAGACGGACAAAAGAAAAACAATTAATGCAGGTTTAAAGATTTAGTAATGACACGTGGGGTAATTATAAAAGGTAAATTTGGCTTGGCACAGACCGACGTGTCACAGGATGCAGGTTCACGGTTTCAGGTTATGGTCACTTTAAGAGAAAACAGCCTGTATCTGAAAATTAGAGCTAATTTGTTGTTTGGCCCCGAATGCTGCTTTTATCAGTTTGAAAAGCCGACACGTTGACCTGTTACGATCATCCTGACGACGAGGCACACACCGACATCATGTTCCCGCCGGCACAGGATACGTTTAGTGCTGACCTGCCGATGGTCCGGTCTACTTGCTGGCTCCGTGTCACACTGGCTGTACCTGTTTCTGGGGTGTAGCTTTATCGATTAACTGGGTGACAACATGTAAAAACTCTTCTATACGTCATATATGTACATACACCGTGGAACACATCCGCGAGACAGGCTTTCTTGACGTTAAGCAGCTCCCCTCCTTTAATGCTCCTTGAGCAAGGCACTGTCATAAATCTATTTTAAAAGGACACGGAGTGTATCACAAGCACACACACCTTACCCCTCTTCTGCTTGTAAAATAACTGACTAGTGTGACTCTAAATGTTGCTCTCGCCTCCTGCGTCCTCATCATCAGCAGCACTTTTATCTCCCTGCGGAGCAGGAATGTGGAGGGACGACGCCCCAGGTTGAGTCTCTTGCTTGCTTCGCTCCTCCACTGCTGATGGTTTAATGTTCTTGTTTGGGGTTTAAAATAGATGTCCAGATGTCGTTTTCCTCCTCTCTTTGGTGATCTGTACAACGAGGGAATACATGTTGTTAAAACAGAGAAATATGAAGCACACATGTAGCCGATGAAAACGTGACGCTTTACCTGGATTTCTAGCGTTTCTCTTTGTCCAAGTTGTCCATCTGGATTTAATACAGAAACAGGAATAATTAATCAACAAATTCAAGTGTTCTGTTTATTTGATTTTGGGCAGAAGGCAGAGTCAATATGAGAAAGCTGAAAGTCAATATGCGAGCTAACGGTAAGAAATTAAACAAACACGGATGTTAAATGTTGTTCTAAAGCCGGAAATGGATTCTCTGTGCTTGTATAATCTACGAAACGCGAGTGGAAAGTTTCTCCATTCTCCATCCTAAAACAAACTGGGATGTGATATTAATTCAGTCAAGGCAGGCGACTCTAAACAAACTCTAATCTCTCATGTTACCCAGCTTGAATTTCAGAACCTACTCGGGACGTTTTAGGATGCGAAGGAAACTCTAACAGACTCAGGGAAACATACACAAACATCCTTTTTAGGTTTATGTCCTCACCACGTGAGACATACACAGCTTCTGCTGCAGGGTTGCTGGTTTTGTGTACAGATGTAGAATTTACAAACAGACTAAGCTGAACATTAAATGCGTTTATCAAGCAAAAAAAAAAAAAAATAGCCTCTGATGACCTCGATCTGCATAGAATCTGAGAAGAAATCAAAAACAAATTTTCTGGGCTGTTCAATAGCAGCATCAACAGGAAGACTTTCTCTCTGAGTAAACTGAAAATTGTAGGGTTTTGCAGTGTTGGTTGGACAAACTAAGCCATTTAAAGACTTCACCTTTAGAATATTTTAATCAGGCAATTTTCACTTTTTTTTTTGACATTTTAACCAAAACGATTAAAAGCTTAATCAAGAAATTAACCGGCAGATTAATATTTAATGAAAATATAACACAATTAGTGTATCTATCAGAACAGTGGTAATGTTGTGTGCTATCAATCATCAAAACCATAACATTCTCTAGTTTTTGTGATATTTAACAACTTGTCGACCATGAACACACACACACAGACAAATCATTGTGCATTCATGTGCAACACATTGTTTGTATAGACCGGGTGTCTGCGAGGAGGAGCCTGATGAGAGACAGCGAGAAAGAGGGACACGGATGAAGAAGTCTCCAGGATACCGACCTGCTGGGACTCAGACGTCGTCCGGCTCTTGGGCTCCGCGGGAGATGTAGGAACACTCCCATTGGAGTCTGGTATTAGCAGGGTCCGCCTCTCCCTGGGAGGTTTTTCACACTTCGTCACCCGGAACCTGAGAGGAGACAAAAAAAAATATTTTTTTTTTTAAAAACACACAACCCAAAAGGTTTAGAGTTTTATTGCAGCCAAATGAAGAACGAGGTCTCGAACACTGCAGAGTTGGCTCATTAAAACAAACTCCTACGCTTATATAAAGGGCCGCTGGCTGAAATAACAAATACACACAGTATAGTGTTTACTGTTGAACTCTTCTAACAGAGTTTTTAAAGGGTGTGAACGATGTTTCTAGGTCAAAACAGAACTAGAACTTCTCTGATAATCTGTTTCACTTGTTAAATAGTATATTTATATCATAAGCAGTATAAATAAATCACAGAAAATGGTCCTTTAATGAATGACCACAGTAGGGATCAGTTATTCTCATTTGTGCCTCAGCTGGCGGCTGCTTCTGCCCCAGTAGGACTCTCGCTCACCCTAACTACTTTCTCTCTCTCACACACACACACACACACACACACACACACACACACACACACACACACACACACACACACTTTAATTAAATCAGCAAATTAATATTCGTATCCAGGTCATGCTGACCCTCTGCGTATGCGGCCATTCATCTGCGTGTGCAAATGAAAAGCAACCTCTCTGCATCCCAATCAGGTTGCAGCAGGACATTAAGACTGAGGAGAGGGCTGGCCGCGTGACGGGGACGAGGCTGCACACTTTCCTACGTTCACTAGTGGACTGAGAAATGTTCTCTTTACCTTAAACATCTTGGACACAATTTTGTAATGGTGGCATACTGCCAGGGTTAGTTCCCGATGTGGAACCGGAGAGAAAGGAAAAGCGTCCAGGTCCATCTTTTGTACAAAGAAAATTCCCACAAGAATGTTTGTCTAAAGTTGTACTCCGTAAGATTTTCATAAAATCTAATTTTTGTACATTAAAACACTATTAATGGTCGGCGTTTCTTCAGCAATAGCCACTCAGCGTGTTTACATTCAGTAATTATCTCTCAGTTTCTATATAGAAATTGTCATTGTTAGTGGTGGAGTCCGCCATTCACCTGCTGGATTCAAACTGCCTTCACATGCATGAGGGATTCTCTGGAAATTATGCATGTATGTAATCCAGCAGTTTTATCTCATTGACAACAGCCTCCCTGTTTATAATTCGCTCTCATTTCACCGTGTCAGCACTGCTAACTGAACATCCAGGAGTTCCACAGGCGAAACACACTTTTATTGTGAAGCAGTCACAGTCTAGACAGAAAGAGGCACATACTGAACGGCTGAATAAAGACAAATGTCTAACTTTAAAAGTCCAAAAAGCTCAAACAATCCCACACTCACTTGTACTCACGCTTCTGTACAGCTTCACTACTTTGTGTGTTAAACTAATATAAAACCACTTACAGCGCACTGGGTCACGTTCTTGACCTCCAAGCTGCCTACAAATATAAACATTAAAACTTTTGTCATGGACATGGACACGCTACACATCATTCGATCGATTAGATTCTCCACAATTCAATCTTTCTGTTAATTTTATGGAAACAGTGCAGATTTACCGCTACGGTAAACAAGAGAGACCAAATTTTTTATACATGTAATATTCATACTGGTTGAAATAAACAATTTGATAGAAGCCCATTTCCCATCCCTGTTGAGCAAGAGTTTTGTGCAGAAGGAACTAAAGGCCTGTGCCGTATTGATGCCTGTCCCAAATATAGTCAGGGGGGAGTTCAGTGATTCAAGCAAATAAAAGCCCGGGCTATTCCTCCAAGTTTTACGGTAGATTTTCATTGTTTGTTGCTTTGTGATTAACAGCATTTTGTCTTTCTTCTCCTATTTACTGTATACATTTGTCGCGAGCTGCTGCATGCAATTTCCCTCACAAGGACAAATGGTTTGCTGTATATTAAAGAAAACAGGTAGGATGGCATTCTGTGTGCAACGAGATATTCCACGCAGTATTCTGAAAAACAGCAGGCTCTGCTAGATATCACAAATGTCTCTGTAGCTGTCTCCTGCTTGGTGTGCTTTTAACAGGGATCACTGCCCCGGAGACGTGGCTCCACAACACAGTCTGAACCCTGCGGCATCTATTTTCCCAGGCTTCACCCTGATCGTCCACAACAACCTTTGTCTGTTTGTGACGAATACCTAAGAGTTAATGTTTGATGAATGTTGTGTGTGCACTAATATCTAATAGGCCTCTGGGAGAAACTGTTTTGATTCACCTCTGTTAAAAAAAAGCATCTTGTGTGGTATGATTCTGAGAAGTTTTAGTGGTAGAAAACTCATTGTAAAGCAGCAATAAACTCCTTCTTGTTGCTGCTTACTTGCCTTTCTCACCCACACACACACACGTACCTGCCCACAGCCAGGACCGTGACCTCTCCGAGGTTGCTGCGGCGCTGCTCTGCCTTACGTGCCGACGGCCTCCTTATTAGCGGCCATTTCTTCTGGCTGCAGCGGGTGCAGTTGTTCTTGTGGCCGCTGAGGCCGCCGATGGTGTGCAGGTGGTTGCAGGTGTGCTTGGCGGCTGCTGGGGGTGCACCCGGTGATATGGGAGGAGGCGTGTCGGGCGAGGTGGGGGTGAGTGGAGGACTAAAAGGCAAGAAATTAATGATCAAGATGGAGGGTTTGTTTAATTTTACATTAATGTTAAACCCTCTTGCTTCAGAAATGACAATTATTAATATATTATACAGTACAATTAGACATTAATTGCAATGTTAGTGTGTAATCAAGATAGCTGCTGATGACTGAGGCCTATTATTACTGGCAGAGCACTAGCAAAATAATGTAAATCAATCTCTGAACATTAATTAGACAACAAAGGGAAATATTTTATAGGTTAGCATGCAACATGAAAATATTAAATACAATAAAAAGATTCCTTAAGATCAGCTGTCAAAAGTGCAGCAAGCAAGACCTTGAATTCTGCAGCGCTTCCTTTGTCACCGCCGCAGACATGACACATTCATGTTTCATACTTCAACGGGGCAAAAACCAACAACAACCAATTACTGACGAGCTCTCTGAGAACGATCACTCCAAGTGTTTAATAATGTGGGCAGTTTTCTGTGCGAGCAGCAGGTGAGGTGCTGAACTACACAGGACACAACAAGCCTGTATTAAAAAAAATTATATTATTAAAGGGGGGAAAAAAGCATTTTTTTGTATTTATTCATTATTTATCTTAGAAGTGTGTTACAAAAGGGACTAACGATCTGTTTGCTCTCTCTTCTTCTTCTTTAAGACGAACTGTGTGTGTATGTTTTAGGACCCTGGAGAGCAGCTCTTCACATTGTGCAGATGGAATAAACTGTTTTACTACGCGCTCACATAAACACAATATACAGTATATCTCTGCCTGTGCTTGTGCCAAGGGACAGACAGCATAATCATTCAACAATTGATCTGTGCTCAGCACACTGTTGGATGAAAGTATCCTTGTATGTCGTAGCGCTACAGCCGACTTTATACTTTTGACACACAAGGAAATAAGGTGGAACAAAGGTGTGTGTTGTTTAAACTAGTAGGGAAGCCGACAACAGAACCTTATTTTTAAATATTGACAAATGTCCCCACCCCATCCTAATATTGATTCTGGTTACATACACGTGTAACAGGCTTTCCCTATAGAGTTGTATTGATGATTCTTGGCATGACGTGTCTCCTCTTAAAAATGTTTCTGGTTACGTTCAGCCCTGCAAAGTTCTATCCAGATAGCAGGGGCCTTTTTTTTGACTGAATTTGGTTCCTCAGGGTCAAGTTCCTGAGGTTCTCTAAAGTTCTTGGTTCCCTGGGAAAGTGGAAATGCTTCTTGGAAATGCTGTGTACTGGGCCTTGGCCATGTAGTGTAAAACCAGTGGGTCCCAGCTTGGGGGGGTCGGGACCCCACTGGAGGTCGTAAGTTAAATCGGAGGGTTTGCTTTTTTTTCTTGTGGATTGCTGTATCATTTAAGATGTTTTAAAAAAAATAGTAATTAGTTTTAGATGAACTGGTGTACTGTGAAGTGGTGCACATAAGCAACCAGTGAGAGGGGGAGACATCCGGTGTAAACAATGTATGCAAGTGAGATGCAAGGTTTTATAAGAAATGCACCAAAACAACATGAATTCTGCTCATGTACAGCGTGAAGATTTCCAGTGAGCAGAGGTATGACCCATGAGTTAGACCCAGAGAAGGGGGAAAAGGTGGGAGATCGGCTGATGTGAACATCACTTTTTGTGGAAACCCCAAAAGGGAACTGAGGGATGGTGGAGAGGTGGAGGCTGGAGCACTGAGGCGAGGGGATGTTAAGTACCAAATCTGGAGAGGCAGATAGCGAGCCCTGGCCTCACTACAGTCACTCTCCTTCTTGCAGTCTCTCTCCATCCCGCTCTCCTTTTTCCTCCCTCCCTCTCTTTTGCCTTGCCATTCTGTGTGTCTGCCTCCTCCCCTTAAGGGTCCCATAATTTACCCCCACCGATACCCCGCTTTCCCCCTATTCCACCATCTCTAAGTGATCCACTGGCAGACTGCCCAACCTGGCACAGAGAGAGACAGAGAGAGAGAGAAAAAAAATACAGAGAACAGTTTCAACAAAATGAACAAGAAAGTGAAGGGAGACGGGAGAGAAAACAAGGCTGGAAAAAGAGATTTGCAGAGAGAACTGGAGAAGCGAGACACATGAAAGTGACGCCGGGAAAATGTGTGCGATTGCAGATATCAGCTGATTTTTACAGGACACCCAATGTGACTGAACATTATACCTCAAAACCCAATCCTTGGCAGAGGCAACGCTCCTAACATTCATCCACACCGTTTCTTTCCTAACAAAAGAGAACATCTCTCCTCTCTCTTATCTCTCTCCTTTCCTCCCAGAACAATATGTCGGGGGACAAGAAAGATGACAGGAGGAGAGAGAGGGGAAAACACACCCCGCTAACTCGATTTACTCTCACTCCTCTTCTGTCGCGGGCATCTCCTCCTCCAATCTGTCTATCTGCCAAACTCCCTCTCCCCCTTATCTCTGCGGCAGAGCAAAGCGAAGACGTCTAATCTCAGCCTGTACCGCCAGCTCCCGTTCTTATGATGCAGGGTCGTTTCAAAGTGGCAAGCAGGGCGCCTTAGATTTGAGATGTGAATGTCTAAATGTGAATGACCCGTTGAAATCAATTTCAGGGCCTATAGATTCTAGGGCTGAGACTAGTTCGCTATTGACCGTTAGCCTAGGGATCGCTGCAACTACCAAAAACCTTTCCTTTCTTGCATTGCACATATGTAATTCACAATGATTTACCACTTAACATTTATAGCACAGTAGGTTCTTGATTTTACGAAAGCTTTGTGGCTAATTACAGTTGTATGAAATTACCACTCTAGCTAGCTAATTAAGATATCGTTAGCACCATGAGTCAAAATCATTTCTCTTGATGACTTTTTAAAGTTTAAAAAAATGGAAACCCCGTAAAAGCGTCTTGATTATGCTGAGCTGTATACAGGATGCTGTGCTTTGGGCCTGAGGCTAAAGCTAACAGAGCCCAGGTAAAAAGTATGTATTAGACATGGAAATAAAGAAACAGCCTCGTTCTTGTTTTTCAGGGTAAAGCTAGTTAATCCAAGGGTTATTATTACAAAAGGAAACATGTAAGATCAGACTGTTATTTTGTTCCAACGTACCACTGTTCAGCTGCTTAGCTTATGTACAGAAGTTATATCTATGATCTGTTGTTGGTATTCTCAAAAAGCATGTTTAACTTTTAATGTTAAAAGATAAAAGGCCTCTAGGATCGGCACAAGCCAGCGTGTTTGGTGAAGGTACACACTGCCTGGGGTTGCTTGAGTGTGAACCAGTTCAGCCAGTCCAAAGCAAACAGCAGGTCAGAGCTGCTAACGTTAGCCTTCACTGTGATAAAGTAGCTTCGAGGAGCGGCTCCCACAGTGTGCAGAGTGTCTGAGCTATTGTGAATGTTTTGTTTTTTTTAAACATAACCCCACAAAATAATGTCATATGACATTCTCCTTGGCCCTGGAAGTGCCGCCCGGCCCTTACAGTGGGGAGTAAGCTAGCTAGATTAAATTTGAATTTAGTCATTCTATTAGGATATTTATTTTGTTGAGGAAAAAGATTTTACTTAATTTTACTCATTCATATTTGTTAAAAAAATATTTTATCATAATTATTAATTACTGAGTGTTCTACCTCAGATTTGTTAAGGGATCCACTGTTTGGCATCAAGTGTTTGTTCTGACCATAAAGAAAAGTTTAAAATCACAATTAACCATCTGGTTTGTTGAACTTTCACTCAGTAGCAAAAACCTGCCTTTAAACTTGAAATAAATAATGATTTGACATTTATCCTGATAATTATTGATATCGAATGATATGAACGTTTTATCATGATAACATTTTTGTTCATATCACCAAGGCCTATTTAATACATTAAACTTTTAGTCCATAAAAAGGTCAGAAAAAATACAAATTTCCAAATCCTAAATATTATTATTGTACAGTGATATAAAAACAGGCAAAAGGATCAAACCCTAATATTTGAAAAGCTGGAACTGGCACAATTGTTGGCCAATACTTCCTTCTGAAGTAGAGTCATAGACACACTTACTGTATTCTACGACTAAGAATCCAATAAGGAAACATGCCAACAACTTCACTTAATACAGGCCCTACTTTAATAACCCCACAATACAGTGAGGCACAGTGGCATTTTCGGAATAGTCCCCAGCTGCTCGCCCTCAATCAAACCATGCCAATCTGGATAAGTATCAGAAGAGAAATGTGGCCTGATTGCCTTGTGTGTTCATTTCCTGCACTGGCTACTCTGGCTACGGAGTCAGTCGACACCAACAGGCTTTCAAGGAGGCTTATGGTGCCATCTGGTGGTTGAGAAAGTTAATACTTCACAGCCAGGACAACAACATGAGAGGACACTTACCCGTCTGAATCAATGCTAGTTTCATGAACCATGGCTTTCAGGGCATCTGAGTTTGCTGAGGAGGGAGAGAGAGAGAGAGAGAAAGTTACACACATAAAAGAGAGGGAGAGATAAAAAGCTGTGCTGGGTATTAGCGAGGAGAACGCTCCAGCGACTTCAAAAGCAGAGCGCTTATTGAAAGATGGCCACAGCAGATTAACTCCTTAACACAATTAAAAAGCACATTGCATGCAATCACTGAACACAATTACCATACACAACAACCCCCGGGGAGAACGTGACGGCTCACAAAAACCTTTATCGAAGAAGTCACAAACGCCAGAATGTGACCCTGAGAAGTTTCATTTCTGAGTAATGCTCAGGCATTTGGCACTTCAAGTCGCCTTTATTAACGTACACAGCAAATGAACAACAAACTTACACTCCCAAAAGAGGCATCAACACAGAGCCAACAGCTCAGATACAGATTTACATAATTTGCTCCCAGAGACAGATTTCCCTAAGGTCTGGCCCGACGTGTTCACTGACTTTCACATGAAACTCAGATAAACAAATTTGTGCATACCTTAGGAAAAAGGAGGGGGGTTACTGCAGAGACACAGATGACTCGGGTAGGTCAAAGTAGTAGTTTCATGTACATGGACATCAGACTCTGACTGAAACTACTGTGCTCCCTATCACCTCATACCATCACCACCATCATCAAGCACTGTAGGGGGTTTACGACAACATCCTTGGTTTTTTATTTTTCGTCCGTAAATATTTTATGATTTTCCTTTTGCTTTGGTGATTTTATTTGAACCCCAGCCGAAATGGCTAAATGTAAGACTACCAGCCAAAGGAAATTATAAAAGCATTTTAGTTTTGAAAGGCAAATATGTGATCAACTTTTCTCAATGGTTTGAAGTAGGCGGGGCTCAGTTAGAAAAATATGGTGCCACGTGCTGCTGTGCACCAATCAGGACGTAGGAACATTCAAATCAAAATCTTGAGGGATTGTTAGTTATGTTGGGAGTCAACTGTCAGTCCAATCTGATCAAACCACACGGCCCTGATTACCTGCATTGTTGAGTGTCAAACTTCAACTTTTATTAGTGCTTATTAAGTCATAAGTATTTCTTATAGTGCAAAACGTGAAGAAAAGTATTCAAGGACAAGGAAAAATGCTCCCTTAAAACACCCGTTTTAAAAGAACAACTATTTGTAATGTGCTCTTTATTTCTGGATCAATTGTTTAATTTCTTTATCGCCTACAGATACCTGGCCAAAAGTAGACAATGCGACATCACACAGACACCACGATGCAGCTACAATAAATCTTGACAGCAGGACAGTGGAAAAAGTTAGCAATAAAATTTGTTTTGATGTCAGCTTCTCTGGAATCTGCATCTGGAAAACCCGTGTCTGCCTTGAAAAGACCTTGCTGATGCAGTAAAACTACCTTGTGTCATGTCATGTTGTATGACTTTTAAACAGTAAACTGCCTTCAGCAGCATCACCTTGCTAGCTAGAATTTGGCTGTTCCTCACCCAGTTTTATTCCTCCTACTGTGTTTCAACTTACATATTGAACTTATTAGCCCCTGTAATGTATAATTGTTTAATCACACACCTGACGATATGCCGACAAAGCCCCCGACTTTGTGCAAGTGTACCTAGAAGAGTTGATGCTGTTTTGAAGGCAATATTGATTTTTCTTCTGTTCACTCACTTTGTATTTCATTAATTGATACATATAATCTATTAACATGTCTATTTTTGAAAGCATTTCTTACTTTACACCATTTGTTTCCCATTTATTTTGAAGTTTGTTGAGTAATAATTCTACCTGGGCATCAAATGAAAACATGTATGACTGTTTCAACACTGTGACCTTTATTATGCGATTATCTGTAGATGGCAGTCTTTGCTCAGCCATTAAGACTGCTGCTGCTGCTGCTACTACTCATGGTGAGTATTCACTTCTTATGTTTATTTATACACAAACAGCTGCTGCGGATGCTGGAAACATGAAAAGCACAGATGACTTCCTGTGTTCCTGTCTCCTTGCAAACCTGGAACTGAGTAGCCAATAATAAAGCTTTCCTACGTTGAACGTTAGCCTATGTCCCCATGACTGACACTGTGAGGGTGAGTCACAGCTAACGGACTCCAACTCGACAAACATCGTTACTACGAAAGCAGCGATGACTCGGCTCAAAGTTCGCCTCTTGAGGGTGGACAGAAAAGTCAACACAGCGGCGGTCAGACACCAAGACAGGACAGTGCTGACGTTGTGTGTCACATGTTCTCTGGATAAGATAAGAACGATGGTTTAGACTGCTCTGGGGGTCAGAACTCACAGATAAGGTGCGTATGTCTAGTTCCTGTCTTTAAAAACATTTTCAGGATAACAATATTACTTCAACATGCGATATATTTCAAGTAAACTGATCCCTATAATGAATTTTCAAATAAATTAAAGTAGTAAGTCAATAAAAACTGTCAGACTGTAGCTGTGGGTTTTTGTGGTTTTGGAGGGGCATAATCTAAATTCATAAATTACACTTTACTTGAACCCCCCTGTTTTTCATCTAAAGTACGTAAACATATAATAAAGCAGTTATAAGCAGATCTAAGAACATTTTTAAGTGTGTATTTATGTGCAGCATTTTTTAACAATTATAATTCCCCCTGTGAAGACACATTTTAAATGATCATAACTGTTTTTTACTACATTGCCATTAATTATCTGTTTATATACAAAGAGGAGTTAAACTTGTTGACAACTACATCATTAAACACTTAAAAATACCTACTACATTAGTGTTATGAACTTTTAAATGGTTATACACTCCTGTTAAAGATTGTACATGTTACTGCAAAGGTATATGCATGTTTTGTTCTAACTAAATTCAATGAGTCTTAAAGGGAAAGTTTGCAGATTTTCAACCAGCTTTGCATCATTACAATGTGGGTAGTTTATGCAAATGCACGGCTAACCTCCCCCTCCATGCCACCTGAACCCAGAGCTCCATATCCATTTGCAGGCAAAAGTCTGCCAGTTGACTGATGCTGTTGGACGATATGTTCAAAACCAATTTTGTCTCTTTATGTGTAACATGCAACAAAAACAACAAACATGGTCAGTCCAAGCTCTCCTGCAGTAGCTCCAACTCCTCTCTCCTCCTCTTTCACCTCAGACAGTTCTTTTCTCTAGTGTGTTAAACTCATCTCGAACATGGAGACTCAGTCAATAAACAGGTCTGCTGTGTGATGTGAAATATATACCAAGAACATACAGCCTTCAGTTATTAAGCACCTCTCCTGTGGAACCAGGTTCCCGTTTGGGTTCAAAAGACTTTCCTTTTTGATAAAGCTTACAGTTAGGGCTGTACCATCCCCTAGCTACGCTGCTTTAGGCCTAGACTGCCGGGAGACTATCCCATGTTGCACTGAGCTCCTCTCTCCTATTATTATTGTGGAACTTGTGCTGCTGTGTGTTGTCTTTCCTCCTACATTGAATTGAACGTGTATTCACACTAATAAAGTTGTTATTGTATTTGAAGCATTGATCCTTATCTCTCCTGTTGCCACTTTTAAACTCAGCTGAACAAAGAAAAGCAATTCCTTTCCCTCATGAGACTGCGGTTATTGATTATGAATTAGACTTTATGTTGCAGCTCAGGGAAATAATTTTAATTTACAGGAATGAGGAAGTCAAAAAAGAGCTAAAAACATTTCTGTAACTTCAATGGAAAATAGTTACGTAACCAAACTATTATGTAGTCCCACAAACACACCACTGAACAGAAACGGACACACACTTCCTTCCCGAATGGCGTTGTGATAACGTAATTGTCAAAACAATAGCAGCATGCAGGATGTAATAACTTTCTGGAAGGAGGGCTACTAAAGGCCGGACTTGACCAAGGGCGATTCCCCTCCAAGTCACATGTTCAGAAACCCTCAGTGTTAAATAGCAGGAAGTGAATCAGTCATAACAAAACCTGTTCTTTAAATGAAAGAGGCAGAAACAGTAGGGTAACCCTCAAGTACAGTGTGTATCACAGTTAAGTTTATAAAGGTGGCAGACACGTACCTTCATTTTTCATGATGTAGTGGATAATCTGCCCGACGGTGTCGTTGTTTTCACTAAAGGTGTCATTCATGTCTGGAAGATAGGAAGAAAAACACACACACACACACACACACACACACACACACACACACAGACACACACACCATTAATAAGTGTGTAATAAGTAGCTTTGATTTTACATGTTAAAAGAAAGTCACCAATATTTAGGCTACAGGTTAACACAAGACAGAGTAGCAGCAAATACGTCAGTAAAACAGGTAAGGTAAACTTTATTTAAGTAAATGTGTTTTAAGAGGTACTCTTCAGGCAAAGCCTACGGGCCCCATCAGCCAGGGCCATTTTACAGCTTAAATGCTAAACATGATATCCATAAATCATAACTTCAGAGCACTTAAGCTGTTAATACAACAGCTTGTTGATGTCCCTCGCCTCCATGTCTTTACTGTTCAACTGGAGCAGGAATGTAAACAATGGGCTCTAATGGAAATCCACACATCAGACTCACAGAGCACTTTGTTTGACTGTTACCTGAGATTCGAGTTTGGCATTAGTAGATCCTGTTGGCTGTTAAAATATTAGGAAATATTTTTTTTTGTTTTGTTTTCTGGGTTCTTAAAGTTCATGGCATTTTTGGCCACTTGAGGGCAGCGTAACATCCCCCTATTATCACTGTTGTGGTTATGGTGAACTTACTAACAACATAATTATTTATTTGGAGTTGTGATCGAGTATCCTTTTAGCTTTAATAATAAGTTAGTGGAGACTAAATCAATTATTAATAACCGCAGCTTTAGCTCTATTACAGCTGCCAGTGGATAATTAAGAGGCTATTCTGTGATAGTGTAATGAACAACAAACGTCTCTGCCTGTGTGATCATCATACACACACTGCTAATCATTTAGTGTGTGTAAATAAATATCTTCTGCAAACATCAATTTTCATACAGAAAACTGCAATCATTTAATTTAATGTATGTATTGTGTCACTGGGTGACAAATATTGTAATCTTTCATTTTGTTAATATTACTTAGCTCAGACACTCAGATGTGCACAGATCTATTAGTAACTGTCCTCCTTCAAGACAGTGGACTAAACAGAGACAGTTAACTTGGTGCATGAGCCCTTCCACTCTGCACACAGCCCTGTGAGGCACTTCCTGGAGCTTTCTCTTGATTACGTCCGGAGTTTCTCCTCCCTTCTGATAAACATAACACTCTTTCAGCAATTTGTGGCAATCTCCTGGTATACTGCATGTCATGGCCGATTTTACATAGTAACCTGCAGCTTTAAAAGCCAGAGAGGGAGACAAAAGCGGACACACAGAGACAAAGGTGTGTGTGCTGTGTCAACTGTTTCTACTAGGGCTGAACAATTGTGAAAAAAAAAAAAAATCTAATTGCCATTGTTTGACTGATTTTGCAATTGCACTATGATTTGTGAGGGGGGAAATCATTTTATATCATTGAAGTTGAAGATTTGTCTATAATATGATGTGTAGGCCAGGACCTCCGCAGCATGACAATATTTAATTTAAAAAAGGTATTTTGACACACGTATCACCTTTAACAAATATCCTGTGATTTGAAAATTGCAGTAGGCCATGTTGAAATTTCGCTACGATTTGGATTAATCATTCAACTTGATTCAACATTCAAGACTGGTGTCTTTCCATGCTGTCCTCTGAGGTGCCAGAGGAGCTGACAGCAGTATCCAACCAGATCTGGAGCACCTGGGCTAACAGGAAATTAGGGATCCACCGAATGTTCGGCCACCGAAAAGAAGAAAGAAAAAAAAAAACACTTTCTGTGTTCAGCCTAATAAGTCAAAAGACCAAATAAATTTTACAGAATGATTATGCTGGCATGTCGGCAGTGTGGAAGCATTTTAAAGTGTCTGAGAAAGATGCAAAAATCCCCGTTTGCAGACACTGTTCTGCTGAATTGTCTCCTAGCACATCCACCCCCATCTGTGGCTGACTTCTTAGAAAAGGGCAACAGTCTGACCTGCTTTGGGTGTTTCTATCACTCGTTTCTGAGAAAGCAATTAAGCTAGCCGCACCTAAATTTTGAGTGCACACGTATTCATGTCTTTATGGTAACTGACAGGCAGGTTAGTGACTTTATCCTGTCATTGTCTCTCTTTGCAAAGACCAGTGTGGCGGTATGAGAGTCCCACCTGAAGAGAGGCTATGAAGTCTTCATGTTACGCGTATGAGAACCACATACAACATTATTTATCAAATTGGGTCGGACTTGATGAATTTAGCACGAGGATATACATGTGACAACGTCCAGTTTTCAAAATAAGGTGTCAATACAGGATGGAAATAAGATTAATTGGATTATATTCACAGAAAGTATAAAACATTATTTATTTTACGGGACCCTCCCCTCCGTGGCCTATGGGCCGGGTTATGACGAAGACAAGAGGACAGATAGAAACTAGAGAAATATACCGACTGAAAGTCAGAACACACAAGCAAAGTTTATCTTTTCCTTCTCTTTTGTGTCAATGCCTGAGAGAGATAGGGTTGGGCACATTGAGGAAAGACACACAAAGAGGAAGACAAAGACAGCAGGGCAAAACTTTAATGCACTGCTGACATGGAGCTCACATTTACTCCACAAGAGAAACCAGTTTTACGCCTAACCCAAACACTCACCTCCACCTAACAAATTACGTAATTATTAACAGGATTCGACAAAGGGGGTTCAGGGCTTCGGCCGACATGGGGAACAGTTGAGACGTGATGCGAAAGTGACAACTGTCGAGAGGTCCTAGGTATAATAACAGACAAGTGAGAAAGGCTGACAGTTCAGGCTCTCGCTGATCTTGGCAGCACAGTGTAAACAATTCAATCATTCCGCAACATCTCTCGTGTCTGTGACATACAACAGGGCAACCCAGGTGTTCTTATGACGTAAAATAATGAGACAAAGATAAATCATGTCAGAACTTTTTCCACCTTTAATGTGACCTATAATGTGAACAATTCAATAGAAAAACAAACTGAAATCTTTGAGGGGGAAAAATTAAAAATAAAACCCCTCAAATAACCTGGTTGCATAAGTGTGCTCAACCTTAGACTAATACTTTGCTGAAGCACCTTTTGATTTTATTACAGTAGTCAGTCTTTTTGGGTAGGAGTCTATTAGCATTGGCAATATTTGCCCACTCTTCTTTGCAAAAGCGCTCCAAATCTGTCAGATTGCGAGGACATCGCCTGTGCACAGCCGTCTTCAGATCACCCCACAGATGTTCAGTTGGATTCAGGTCTGGGCTCTGGCTGGGCCATTCCAAAACATTCATCTTGTTCTGGTGAAGCCATGCTTTTGTGGATTTGGATGTGTGCTTTGGGTCGTCGTTGTGCTGTAAAGGTGAACTTCCTCTTCATCTTCAGCTTTCTAACCGACGCCTGAAGGTTTTGTGCCAAAACTGCCTGGTATTTGGAACTGTTCATTATTGCCTCCACCCTGACTAAGGCCCCGGTTCCAGCTGAAGAAAAACAGCCCCAAAGCATGATGCTGCCACCACCACGCTTCACTGTCGGTATGCTGTTCCTTGGTTGATGTACAGTGTTGTTTTTGCGCCAAACATACCTTTTGGAATTATGGCCAAGAAGTTCTACCTTGGTTTCATCAGACCACAACACATTTTCCCACATGCTTCTGGGGGACTTGATGTTTGTTTTTGCAAACTTCAGCCGTGCTTGGATGTTTTTCTTTGTAAGCAAAGGCTTCTGTCTTGCCACCCTACCCCATAGCCCATTCATATGAAGAATACGGGAGATAGTTATCACATGTACCACACAGCCAGTACTTGCCAGAAACTCCTGCAGTTCCTTTAATGTTGCTGTAGGCCTCTTGGAAGCCTCCCTGACCAGTTTTCTTTTTGTCTTTTCATCAATTCTGGAGGGACGTCCAGTTCTTGGTAAAGTCACAGTTGTGCCATATTTTCTCCACTTGATGATGACTGTCCTCACTGTGTTCTAATGCTTTGGAAATTCTTTTTGTTCTACTTAGTTTTAATTCTACTAGAACAGCTGAACTTTATTTGTGATTAAACAGAGTCACTTTAAATGATGGCAGGTGTGTAATGACTTCTATTTAACCAGAGTTTGAATGTGATTGGTTAATTCTGAACACAGCCACATCCCCAGTTATAAGAGGGTGTGCACACTTATGCAACCAGGTTACTGTAAGGTTTTTATTTTTCATTTTCCCCCCTCAAAGATTTCAGTTTGTTTTTCTATTGAATTGTTCACATTAAAGGTGGAAAAAGTTCTGACATGATTTATCTTTGTCTCATTATTTTACATCATAAGAACCTGGCATTTTAACAGGGGTGTGTAGACTTTTCTATCCACTGTAGATGTTGAATGCTTCATTATTGAGTCCCATAGGTCCACAGAGAGCGGTACGCCAATGTCTTGTTCCCATTGTAATTTAATAAGAGTTGTGCGGTCAGGTAGTCATAGTATACATAGTATAGTCAACTTGTATATAGCTGAAACAGTTCCTCGCATGGTAGCAGCATCCCTCAGTTACCCGTCAAGGACACTTTTAAATCCTAATTTGATTCCCTGAAGTGTATGTTTCTTAAAAATCTTAATTGTGCATATTGTAAAAAGGAAGAATCATTCAGGTCAAACTGATTTTTCAACTCAGAAAATGCAACAATATCTCCATCCCTTACAACCTGTCCAATCTGTGTGATATTTTTTGTTGCCAAGTGCTCTTTGCCAATGTTATACCTCCTGCAGTGAACACTGGGTTATTCCATATCGGGCAAGAAGGTAAAAATGCAGTTGTTTATGTACTTCCTTTATTATTTCACAAGAGAAGTCGATAATCTATTTTTGCTTTATATTTGGGATGATACCATAATGACTGTATAGAAATTGATTTATTATATTCAAATAAAGCCTTCTCCTCCAGCCATTGCTAACTACTGACTGCATATTGAGTTTGATTGATTTTGGCCCAAGACAACGGATATCTTACATTAAATGCTAAATAATAAGAACAAACATTTGGGCCATTCAAGTCAAATATCTTACTGCTTGGGTATCTGGTACTTTTGGTACATACCTTTGAGTTTCCAAATAAAGGATGCCGAGCCAAGGTGGGCTGCAAAAGTATGATGATTTAAAGGAATAGCCTCACCTTTGCTGCAATTAATTTTATAGCCAGAAAGTTGGCCAAATGCTTCTATGATTTTCAACAAATATGGCAGTGAGCGAGTTGGGTTAGATATTGTTAATAAAATATCAGCCACGTAAAGACTAGTTTTAATATCATAACCGTTCAGATCAATACCAGTTATATTTGGGTTAGCTCTAATGGCACAAGCCCGATTTCTAGTGCTAAAATAAAAATGGCCGGTGAGACTGGGCAGACCCGCCGTGTGGATCTAAAAAGTTGGAAAGGATGAGATATTACAGCATTTGTTTTAACACAAGCAGTTGGTTCATGATATAATGCCTTAATCCATCATATACATGTTGGTGTAAAACCAAATTTAGACAATACCTGAAATAAAAAGGGCCATTCTATTCTATCAAAGGCTTTTTCAGCATCCAACGATACTGCTAACGCCGCATGCTGAAGAGTAGAGGCTCTTGATTACCTTCTCCAGGCGCACTGCAAGGATCTTGGCAAACGGTTTGTAATCGTTGTTTAAAAGACTTAATGGTCAGAAATTACTTATTTGCATCTGATCTTTAACTGGCTTTGGGATAAGAGAAATGATAGCTGATCGCATCATATACTGTTTGGAGATGATATCATTGTAAAGCATAGTAAGAAGTGTCTCCTTGCTGGTCATTCCGACACATTCAAAGTCATTAACGCTTGTCGTTAACAGGCAGCTCGCTGCGTACCACTTGTAACATTTACATTTTAAAATGCTCATTATTATGGCCTACCAGGAAGATCTTTAGTCGGGGGCAGCGCTACTTAAAACATACAAAAATGTAATGTTGCCAGACAATACCACATTTCCAAGACTCGTGATTTCATATTTTATTTTAAAGAGTTTTTGAAGTTGCCTGTACTCCCCTTCCTCTTTTATTCAGATTTTCTTACCTCCGCCCAGCTCAGAATCCTTTTCTTCCTGGCACTCCTCCTCCTCGCCATCCTGGGTCTCAGTGGTGCACCGGTAGCCCTTCCTCTTCAGCACGTGGCAGATCACCACCCCCAACAGGCCCAGAACGAAGAAAACCGGCACCAGAACAAAAGCAATGTAGTTTGGGTCAGACCCCACTGCTCCAGTTTCAGCTCCAGCTTCAGCTCCAGCTTCAGCAGTCTGATTCACTGCAGGATGGAGAGGGATCAAGAAAAAAGTAATTATCTTGCATACTGTTGCAAGAGGACACAGAAAAACACAACAATGGATCGTCATTTCAGTGCCCTTGATGGCAACCTGATATCCACAGTGAGTCTGAGGGTGCGCTTGAGGCTGAGCAGCTGACAGGATTTAAATTATATCAGCTGCAACATGATCCCGTTCTGGATCAATCAAGTCTGCTTCTGTTTCTGTCCTCTATGCTGCTCGAGCCGGTGGAAGCTGCCCCCTCCCCCTTCACATCTTTGAGGACTCATTTGGTGGAGGAGGCAGAGAGAGAGAGAGAAAGGGCAAGATGAACCAAAAATAATAAAATGCAGCCGAGCATTTCAGCTTGCTTCAGCTCTCACATGTACCAGGTTGATTGTATCTTTTTTTAATGACTGACTGCAGCAAAAAGAGCACAAAGACCATAAACTCCAACTTCATTCTCCCACTCCCATCTGCACACAGGACTTTAGACCCATCATGGTGCTAGAGGCAGCTCAACATACTGTGCTTTCAATTCAAACAACTTAAGAAAGATTTAGGGCTGAAACTAACCATTATTTTCCTCATCAAGTCATTGTTTAGTCTATGATATTTAAAGGAGCAGCGAAAACACAAATCAAACCTTCCCAGAGACCAAAGTAATGTCTTCATATTGCTTGTTTTGTCCGACTGACGCTCCAAAACCCCAGAGATATATTCAATTTACAATCATATTACAAAGAAATCCACACTTCTGAGAAGCAGTGACCAGCAAATGTTTGGCATTTTTGCTTAAAAAAACAACTGAAAGACACGATTCATTTTCAGAGAGAGAGAGAGAGCGCAAGCGGAGGTGCTGAGCGGATTTAACGTTATGCGCTGTGGGCAGCTCTGCAATGAATTATGATTTCACTCCTATTTAATAGTCTATGTGGAGGTCAGCGTTGATATTGTGTCGTGTAGCCACAAATAAATCAGTGAATGGGAAACACTGTAGTGTGGTGCAGATTCTAGAGACTTTTTATGTCATCTTAGTAAAATCGCCTTAATATCGGCGCATGAAAAACCAATCGCTGATCATCCCTTTAATCACCGATAGCCGATCCAATCGCCAATCGGAACAAACCTATGACCAGGTCAAAGTGTCGACCGTGACCTGTGGTCAGCTATAGGCGAAAGGTTCCCGCACCACGTGAGGCATTCCAGCGCTACACACAAGACGTCTTTTGTCTGGTTTCCTGTCCGCATCAGAGTGTGTGTGTGTGTGTGTGTGTGTGTGTGTGTGTGTGTGAGTGAGTTTAAATCACATGTTCACGTCATTCTGAAACGTGCCACGGCGCTGTGTGTCTGCGTGTATACAGGCGTGTATTTGCATGTGCCTCCAGTTGCATGCAGGCATTTGTGCTCTCCCACTGTTCCAGTTCCTTCAGACTGAACACACTGATAGAGACTATTGTCTGCTCACTAACCATCCTGTGACCGACTGCTGTGCGTGCGTTTGCTTATATCTAGTTACGGCCACACTAGCAGGCTGTCCTGGCTCGGTCCCATGCCTTACCCAAATGACTCACAAGTAAGCATGGGCCAATTACAGGACTGTATAAAAAGCACTGAGAAAAAAAGTCTAAACTCTGGCAAATGGGTTGAATAGAGTCCTTGAGGAAGAGTAGAGTCATAAATCTCTCAGCAGCTGGCATATATCAGCTGATTGTTTTTTTCCCCTTATTTTAAGAAACGCATGACATAAACAAAGATTATCCCTAAAATTTTGTTATGCTGAGACCATACCAAGATACCATGACATAATGCAGTATAAAAATAATCTTTTATATTACTATAAATAGCACTTTGAACAAAAGCATAACAAAATATACTAAGGTTTTGATAAATAAGAGTCAAATAAAACAACAGAATTTTTTTAAGTACTACTACTAATGAACATTAAAGTAAATAGTGTATTGTGGTGGCCAGCAAAACAGAAACTATAAAAAACAATTCATACTGCTACTACTAATAATACCGTATATCATATCTCATACCCCTTTACCAGCACTGTTAATTCCATCTAAAGCTAGAGAAACCATTTCAGAACCAGCACCTGGGTCTAAAACATACCGTCTATGATACAGTGACCCAGAGGAAACGCTGCTTTTTTAATAAATGACTGTCTAAAACGAGGACCTGCAACTTTTGTGATTACACACTAAGGTTTCTCATTCAAAAGAAGAGGTAACGTTAGAGAACTTTGTTAGGCAGGAAGCCGTGTTTCATTCTTGTTCGGCTCATGTTTATTCTGCTCTGGTTTAGTCATTTCTGACACGCCGACTGTAACTATAGACAAGCCGCTCGCAGATATATTAATAATACGTCAAACACTATAGTTTAATTGCTGATTAACGTTAGCGCTCCTCCACCGCTAAAGACGGCATGGGCTTTGTGGCTAATTTTGACGGGCAGCGTTGCTGTAAGTTACACTGAATAATATTTAGAAGTAATGAACTAGGGAGAAATGAGAGGACCGTTCACTAGAAGTGACGCGCTGTTTCAGAATAAATCTACGATCACGTCTGTCAGCGTAAGGTTAGCCACCGCCACTCACCTGCTGTAACATTAAACATCCTTATCCATCGTCGACCGCTTATCCTGCGTACAGGGTCGCGGGGGGCTGGAGCCAATCCCAGCTGGCATCGGGCGAAAGGCGGGGTACACCCTGGACAGGTCGCCAGTCCATCGCAGGGCCACACATAGACGAACAACCACGCACGCTCACACTCACACCTAAGGACAGTTTAGGGTTGCCAATTAACCTAGACCTAGCCAATTAACCTTGACACTGGTGTTGAAAAATGCCAAAACGATACTCTGGCCTAGATGTAAAAGGTTGTCTAAAACAAACTGGAGAAGAAAAGCAATGTGTCTGAAATTTTGCGGAGGAGAGAGTCAAACTGCCCCTGGATACAAGGAAAGCGAGTCTTACAGTGAGCAGCAGCTGGACTGAGCACTGTAGCAGGTAACAATAATCTGAACAGGACCTCGGCAAGGTGAGTGGTTCCCTGCCAAAGTACAACAAAGCTTAGAAAAAGGTGCTCGCCTTTCGTTTAATTTACTTCAATTTCTGCATGGGATCATGTAGCAGCTACTTCATCCCACTGACATCCAACAATTGAGGTAAATAGCCAAATACTGCTGTTCGTAGTCATTTAAAACTGCATGTAACTACAAAACATACATCACATCACATCACTTGTAGTAAGGGGGCAACTACTTTAAGCTATTAATAAAATCAAAGTAAATTTGTACGCAGCCTGTGTGTGCTGAAATATTGGACTTTGTATTCCTCCTGCTCTTGCCAGCGCTCAGATTTGTTCATGGAAAACTTCCGTTACCTACCAGTGATTAAGTGAGTGACACCACAATGCCAAGGAAAGGAAAGGAAAGGAAAGAGGATGTTAACATTCCTCACTGCTGATATCAGCTGAAAACCTCATGACACAAAGAAGCACACGGCGTGTTTGTTAACCTAAATGATGTTTTCTATTTCAGATCATTTCCAGCTCAGTCAGTCACTTCTTGGCAAATGCAGCATTAAATAATACTAAAACAGGAAGTCAGAAATGAGTTGCGAGACTTTTACCTCCAACCCCTTAGCTACATTCAGTCAGTCTAACCCTTAACTGGATGTAACTGCATTATTCTCCTCCACTTCCTCATCTTAAGAAGGAGAGAGAGTGAATGGAAACTGCTGGACGTCTCCTCCTTGACCAGTATTTGGCTAGTTATTAGCCACTCCCTCCGCTTTTACAACAATGTCTCCACATTAATCTTTGGGCACAGCACCCAAAACACCACAGTGTCTCAGTGCACCTTTGTTCTCAGAGAATCTACACCTGTGAGACCGGGACATGACTCAACCATCACGTCACAGCTCAAACCTTTCTTTTCTTGTCACATACAGTAATTAGAAGGGATGCACCGATCAGATACTAATATCAGACCGATACTGACTCAAAAAGCTGGATTGAGTATCGAAGACAAGGGGGGTGATCTACGGGGGCCGACCTACTCACTTAAATTATGCGTGTTGAAAAACAAGCATTCAGCAGTTGGGAGGTATTTAATTCACACTTGATCGAGCCTGATGTTGCCTTTCACGTCAAAGAATCAAGTCTCTACCTGACAGTGAGCAATACAACTTATTCATTTTACACTGGTTATAGGACTGGTACTTGGCCAATACCCAAAGCCCAGGTAATGGTATCGGTATCAGGACTGAAGTCAGATTGGTGCGTTCCTAGGAATAAGTCAATAAAAACTTACTAAATAGCTGTAAAAAATATATACATATTATATATATATATACTGCATAGCTATCAATCAAGAATGTTTTCTTAACTGTTGAGAAAGTGGCAGTAAACACACAGTAAAAGGGTTTCATCTGACAACAACTACATTTTAGGATGAGAGTTGGTGGCCTTCAGCACAACACTGAGTATTATACGATATAAGTTCAAAGGTTCTGCGGTCTGTGTCCTCCCCGGTTCCACACAGGAAATTATGTGTAGCTAGGAAAGTAAATCTAAAACCCCACTGTTACACTGACCACATCTCATTTCAGATTACGCAAAACAGCCCTGTCCTTTCAGCCATCGGTCCTTCATCCATTTAGTCGCCAAGTGAGCTCACTGGAGATGAAACCGCCCTCTCAGTCATGTTGACTGGCAGACGCAGCTCTGACACTGTGAGAGATGCGAAGGTGTCAGACGGCACATCACGCCAAATATTCCTCCTGTGCTTTGCTAGTAATGCAAAGCACAGGCAAGCGGGCCCTTGTTGTGCAAAAAAGGGCTGCTTAAACTGCATTCTTGTGCTGCATGCTGATCAGCGAGCGGAAAGAATTGAGACAATTACTGCAACCTTTTTTTTTTGGAAGCACAGATTTAGTTTCATGCAGGGACCAACAATCCAGAAATATGGGGCCGTGGTGTCTTAATTACAAGACTGTCACACGTGGGCTGCAAGTAACTTATTTTATTTATTACTGATTAATTTGCTGATTGTTTTCTCAGCCAATCGATATACAATTGGTCTATAAAATGTCAGAAATGGCCATCACAACTTCCCAAGAGGTGACATATTCAAATTGCTAAACAATGCAGATATAGGAAATAAAAATGGGGAATGTTGCTTGAAACGTGACTTGAGCATCAGCATTGTTGTCTGTTAATTCAAGAACAAGAATAGCTTCTTAATTACCAAGAAGACACAGCAGCAGCAGCAGAGGATCTTCTTACTGCGGCATGCTTCACACGAATAATGGCACAGCTCCAGAGCCTTCGCCAGCAACATAACCTCATCAATACCTGTGTGGTTTGGAGCAACATCCGAGTAGCTCAACTGCAAATATGTTTCTGGAAAAAGACAAAGCAAGTGGACACAGAAACTCCCATTCCCCCCCAGATGGCATTAAACTACTCATCTGTATTTGCAAGCATCTCAAATGCAGTCATAGAGCACAAAGCTACCAGCAGGCTCATTCTGGAGCTGTGAAATAATTTTTGGCATTACAGTTAGTGTTAACAGTCTAGCCGCTTTATAAGCAGCCAGTCCACATAGATCAGTGGTATACGTGTGTTTGTGACTCCTCTGCACAGGTCTTGAGACCAGACATGAGCATAAGTTTTCCTCCAAATATCGTTTCATTCAAAGTATTTTAACAAAATAAAGTTTCACTCAACTAAGAATTTAACACAGTTGTGTGCAACATGTTTCTTTTCTTTTCCCTTTAATCATCTTGTGACCCCTCACATTTAACTTTGGACCTGACCTAGACCACAAAAATATATCCTCAGCCTGCAAATGAGTGTCAAGCTCAACTGCACGCATGTTCAGGCTTTGTATGCTGCAGCCGTTACATGAAGTGGTGAAGACAGCTGAAACTAAAGAGTATTCTTGACACCAAACCCACGTACTGGATGACTTGGTCTAATTGAATGAGCATGAGGATTCTGCAAACCACAGACTCCTGCGGACTCTCCATGGAAAATGGAAACAGGCCTCACTCTTTAAAGGTTATGAAGAAAACCAAATCGTGTGGGCATCAGTTGGAACTAAAAGAGCCCTGACTTGAGTATTTCTTGATGCAGAGATGTGTACAGTGACACACAAACAGTCCTAGCAGTATTTCACAGACAACTAACAAGGAAAATACTCATATATACTTCATTCTGACGGGAAACAGATTACAGAAATCACATTCGATGGGGAAAAAATTTGTGCTACTCCAATATTATTACCCCTAGGCCAGGGGTTTTCAAAGTCGGAGATAAACGCTGGGAAAAGGTGCTCCCTTTGCTTTATTTACTTTGCTTATTTTTACTAGTATCTAGCCCAATATTGATTTTTGACATAACTTTAGACAACACCAAATACATAAAAGGTCTGTCCTAAGTAGGGCTGGGGCGATTCGTCGACGTAATCGATTACGTAAATATGCATCCGGTGTGGGATTCTCCCACACAAGCTCCAGCTACAAGACCGCGCCTTTGACCGTCTAAAGTTTGGAGTATTTCAGACAGACACTCAGCAACGTGCTGCTTCGTGAGCTCTCTGAACTGGAAACAGCTTCACTGCAGCACAGCTGCTGTCCACGAATAGTGAAGCAGCACGAACACGTTAAACGAAAGTATCCCGCAGCACTTTGTCTAGACGGCAGCACCGCAAATCGTGTTTCCTTTCTGTCGCCACACAAGCACATTATCAGCACGATAAAATGTTTATTGCCTCCATGTTAAAAGTAAATTCTGTCCCGCTGCTGTCATGGTAACGTAACGTTACACGCGTGTCATCTAATGTTTGGCCGTTTCATATTTTCTGTTTATTTAACGGCCACTTCAGAGCGAGAAAACTGCTGAAACTAACAGTACAGATGATCTGTGACTGTCTGTGAGTCCTTTCAGGTGTTCACTGATGCAGAAATACATTTGATTATCATACTGCATTACTTAATATTGAAATGAATCCATGTCAGAAACATTTAAAGTTTTAAGTAAAGTAGCCTAATTAATGTCTGTTATTATTATCACAACACATCAGTGACGTGGAAATTTGATTCATTTTAAGATTTGCTGCTATTGTCATTGTTCTAATGTGCTTCATCAGGATGATTGAATAAAATATAGATTTATTGATTAGACATGTTTTTGATATTTATTTTGGATAAATTGGTATGTTAATCGAGTAATAGGCAACTTAAATAAACAAAATTAGTCGTCAGATTAATCGACTAATCTAAAAAAAAATCATTATATTAATTGGCTTGAAATGTACATCCCTAGTCCTAAGGCATTTATTATTTCTGCCTCTGGGAAAGTGGGAAAAACAATCAAATTCCTCAAACCCAGTTTACTGTATCTCTGAACTATATCTTTAATTAACCAACTCGCACACATTTAGACTATTCTGTGTGATCTCCTTTTGATAGTGTAATATTTTTTCACTTCCATTTACTGAACCTCCCCTGAAACAGTTTGGAGCCTGCCTGGTAACCAGCCTGCCGCACACTTTGAATAACCCTGCCCTCCTGTCACTTATTTATTTACGTAAGTTAACGTACATTATTTGGACATTTCAAGCAGATAATATGTACGTACACACACACGTATCGTTATAGGCTATAAAGACAGATGTATATATAACGCTATATATATATATATATATATATATATATATATATATATATATATATATATAATATAAACACACAATCACAAACATATGTGTGTATATAGTTACGGTATATAAAACCTTAACGTTAGATAGGAAGTTACACACATATATATGCTAGCTAAGCTAACGTTAGTAGGTTTCCGTTAAGACTGGCATCAATGCCCCGGGACAGCTATAACTTAATAAACTCCGGCCAACGTTAACTACTTTAAAATGAGCGCAAACTTTTCTGAGGAGGAGATGAGAAACCGTGAACGGCTCCGGTTGTGCAGCAACTGTTTTACATGTTTCAGTTTGCACACAGAGGGTAAAACATCTTGGAAACTTACCCGAGTCGACGGGTGAGCCAGCCATCGATAGACAGGACCGCAGCTAGCTGGTGGCGATGTGTCGGCCGTTGAACGCTGTGGTCATCACAAACCACCCGGGGTCAACCTGAAGGAGGGACTTTCTACAAACACACCAACGTATTTCCTAATTCCCAAACAGGTGACACGCCCTGGCTCTCAATGGCTGTCCCCACTCCAACCGAGAGAGCAGTACACAGGAAGCAGAGCGAGATGATTCACTCACTGCTACTTCCGTCCTCGTCGGGCTGGATGCGGACGATCGGCAGAATACGAACAGTTTAGATTGATTTTGTATTGTGCTATGGCAGGCTTAGCAAATTGCACGGCGAATGGCAATCCACAACAACTGTGTGGTTTTCCCATCTTTTCCCAACGATGAACTTTACCTATAGGTAACTGTGGGGGTTAAAGGACGCTGTAATTATTGAAAACAGACTGTGAGTCACAAATGGATATTACAACTTGTAAACACAAAACACAATCTAGAAATAGATTCAAAATCAGCAAACATAAGTAATAATCCACAAATAGGCTAGATTAAAAATCCATAGGAAAAGCCTGTCTGTTGCATTACTTCACTGCAATGTAAGGTGATCCTTGTTATCCTTGCTTCAATCACTGGGTGTCTTTTTATAGGCTAAAACTTGCTGACTTGTGGTAGGCTATTTTTGTTTCTGTTAATGCTCAATGCTGTTTGGCCATATTGTGAACATTCCCGCCTGGTGACAGCTGTAATTCAAGATTACTTTATTTGTCCCCAGGGAAATTTGTCTTGGACATAAAGGCTGTCACACGTTAGAAGACATACAGTCAGTACAATGACAGACATTGCCTAATAACAGACATGGTAGTAGGCCCACACATCAATAACCTACAATTTAACAGGCAAGCAGAGCTGAAGTCAGAAAGACAATAGATAGCAGACAAGACAGTAAAATAAAATAAAAATATCATAGGCCAACCTGTCTGGGGTTAATCTCCATAATGTTGCACCAAGAAGGTGAAGGGAGGATGCCAACAGGACATACTTGTCAAGCTTTCTTTAAGAGTTAGGTAGGGTTAAGTAAAGCAGTTAATATTAATGTTAATGTAGACTCACCTCTATGATTTTAACCCAACAAGGGCATAAAATTGAGTAGGGACGGTAAGGTCATGTCCCTCCCAATAATACTGATCTAAAAAACTGAAAACACTGTTGTCCGTCAGAGTCTTGTCAGTGTAGGCCTATTTGGTACACAATGAACACAAACCGTGAAAAAAACAAACACAAAAACAAAAACTCTTCCTCTCTTCTAGGAGTCCAATGCGTAAAATTTTTAGAATATTATGTGGTATAGTGGTTTTCATACATTTCAAGTCAAACTGTGATCCCACATTACATTTATTTGGATTATGTGGTTACTTTTTATTGGTAATTGTGTTGTTATCTTCCAAAACCATTAGGAGGTCTAACAAGAAAAGCAGCTGTCTCAGAAGTATTTATGCATCAGGTATTTAAATATAATCAATTCTTATACATGTCGACTAAATTGAAACATTTTAGAGCCATTTTTGTAACTTGTTTCCTCTTTTGTTTTGTTTTTACAAATGACTGTTTACAGGCCCGGTGCAGTCCATGATACACGGGCAAAAAACATATAAATACAAAATAATGTGAAGCTGTATACAGAAAGGATCAAATTACAGTTCACACGTTCATGTGACATACATGAAAACAAGATATATAACAATAAAATAAAGAATGTATATGTGTAATTTGAAGATTACAGAATAGGACAAATATTGTGTCAGGTTAGCTTCAGCGCTGACAGAGCAAATGATGGGAAGTGGTGAGAGGAAAATTACACAACACAGAGACAGGAAGTGAAATACACCAGAACAAAAAACAAGAGGACGGGCCTACCAAAATAACAACTGCAGACATGTAGAATGTTTTGCTGCTGATTTTCCATCTAATCCAGACACACATTGCATATAAAGGCTGCAGTGCACCTTTCAATCAAGCATAAAGGCACAAAAAATCTGTTTGTATTCTTCATAAATTTAGATTTTTGGATAAAGAATTTTCCAAACAAAATTAACAACTTAGCTAAATATTGCATAGATGGATTGGAGTCTGAAAAATAATAAGTCAAAGGGAGATAGACTTATATTAAAACCAAATTGTCTGTTTAAAAACATTGCCGTTCTCTCCAAAAGTAGGCGCTGTGTGGACTAAAACATAATTTCCGTTTTCCAGCGAACAAAGCTGCATTCTGCATTTACAATGGGGATATATTTTGAAATATCATTGCAAGGATAATAACAGTGAAGAATTTTGAACGTCTTTGGTCACCATATCTAATTCTTTTTTGGTTGGGCATGAAAGTTGATTTTAAGTGTTAAGTCATCATAATTTTAGATTTGAGTCATTTAAGATTTGGAAGAACCAGTCCTGCATAAAAATGTGTGATTTCTGTGTTTGTCACAATTAGCTAAGTGTGCACACAGGAAAACATGCAGACACAAAGGCTGAGCAGGTTCTGTTTTTAGAGGTTATTAACAAAGGATGAAAATAACTCACAAACAAGGTGTGGCAGGCAGTTCAAAAGGCAAAATACAAAGTCCAAAGTTAATCACACAAAGGGCAGGCAAGTTTGCTGTATGGACCACTCAGCAGTATTTATATATATATGTATTTAACTGTTTTTTGTACTTTTTTAAAGGGATAGTTTGGGATTTTTGAAGGGGGCTGTAAGAGGTACTTATCCATAGTCAGTGTATTACCTGCAGTAGATAGCGGCCAGAGTGCCCCAGTTTGGAAAAGCTGAGAGGTGTACCAGGGTCAGCAGCAAAACGTATTTTACCCACCTAATAGAAGGCCCACCAAAAAAATCTATATCAGTTCAAGTGTACGCTACATTTAGAGTACCTCATACAGCCTCACTTAAAAAATCTCAAACTTTCCCTTTAAAAACAGATTGCAGCCTGTAATTAACAGGATTTATGCTGGATTATAAAGAAATGATCTCTTTTGCAATTATCATTCTTACTCTACATTATTTTACATGCTCTGTGCCAACCAATTCAGTATATTTTACCTGTTTAATTACCTTTAAAGAGCCAATACAACCTACAAAATACAGTTTTGCACTTGCCAAAAAGTGATTACAGCCTCTACTTGTTGACTGAAAGGTTCATTCTGCCTTAAAGTGGTCATATTATGTTCATTTTCAGATTCCTAATTTTTTTAGGGGTTGTACCAAAATAGGTTTACAATGTTTAATTTTGACCATATTTTGTGTCATACTGCACCTCGCTGCGGCACCTCTTCCCCAATCAGAAGTAGAGTAGCGGGTCCTGACAATCTGGTAACAACGCATAGGTTATGTTCCTGAACCAGCTTTGCAAGTGCTATGTTCGCAACCTAGACTAGAGCAAGAGGTTCAGAGTGGTAAGTTATTAATTTGTAACAAATTTATCTTTCATATGTAAAGTTTTAACTGAGCTCTGTCTCTACATCACAGGAACAGCTTTATGTCCATTGCCTAACGAGAGGGTGGGGGAGGGGAGACTGCAGGTGGATGTCTGTCACTGAGTGCTGCAGCTCAATGTGTTTCTCCACCAGTGTTTTTGAGGGCGTGTCTGACCAGCCGCCAAGTGAGCATCATGACAGGTGGACTACAATCAAGCTGTTTTAAGGCAATTCAGGAGCAGAGTTTTCTGTGGGAGATGGGAACTGACTTAGGGGGGGACTTTGGTCTTTTTCACTTTGCAAACCTTTGCAAAACCAAATATATCACAATAAAGGAAAGGGAAGGGAATATGACCTCTTTAAATTTAATTCATGAGGGATATATTTGACAGCCCACCTAGTCTTTTTTATCTAAGACAATTTAGATACATACATACATAATTACAGATGGCTAGTTGTACTTTGTAAGGTACAAAGGGACACCTCAGCATCTTAAGGCAAAAGTGTTGTGTGGCGAAATAGAGGCAAAATTAGTCTTTGTCTTCACGCCAGCTGTGGAGGTGCACATTGTGGCCAGAAAAAAACAAGAGAGGCAATCTCTAAAGATTTTACTGGCCCTGAATGTTATAGGACACACGTCAGTATGCACTTACATATTATATTCATACTGTTGGTCTCACAAAAATGTTGCCTTTCTGCCAAGACAATACAATAAAAAAAGTCACTGTTTAGCTATATTGCAAAGACTAAAACTGTTGTTGATGTCTAACACATTTAATTGAAAATATAAAAAAGAAATCTGCATGAACTTTACAGCATTCAAAATGGCACAGCCAGTGAAAAAAACAATACTTTTAAATAACTTTTTTTCCCTGTCAAGTGAGTGAATATGTGACATGCCAGGCCAGCAATGTAATAATTAAAGAGGAGGTGGAGGACACACCAATAAAGGTAACATTGGATGTGTATTGTCTTTGTGTTGTCTTATACTTATAGATAAAAATAGTCATGAAAATCATGTCCATTGGAAAACAGCAGGTACCTATGATTGACTAAGTGGCCACAGGGAGATGCTCTAAAAGGGAAGGATTCTGTGAATAAAGTAAGCTTAACTAATTATGTAGGTCAGAACATGTTTTAATAAAACTCATTGGCTAGCACAGTTTAATCTTGTTTTACCTGTGACAGTTTTTATTTTTTGTATATTTCTTTTTTTATGATACAGATCAATAAGTAAGTTTGCAAGGTACTCAACATTAAGAGAAGTCTCTGTGCCTCTTACCACCTGCAGACTAATGGGTTAGTTGAGAGGATGAACGGGACGATACAGAGGTATAATTCAATTTATATGTTAAATATATATTATACATATCCTTAAAAACATACTTATTAATAAATGCTTTGTTATTATTAGTCTCTCTCTGTTTTCGAGAGCTCTGTCCACATTGGTGAAAAACAGACTGGACGAATGGGATTGGACGCCGTCAAGTTTGGCTTGAGGACAAAACACTAAATGTCAACAAAACGTTTTCACATATCTTTGTGGTAGAGAGGCCCCTCTCAAATCCCAGCTGAACACAGAGTGAGTTACACTTACAAACACATCTTAGAAATAAAGAAAATGTTAAATTTTGATATAATATAAAATATAAATAGATAGATGGCAGTGTTGAGGACAATTTGTCTGTTGAAGCAGGAACAGAGGACATTCTGAAGCTCAAAAAAGTCCTTCAGACTTGTAATAATACAAGAATAATACAACACAGTCAAAACAAAATAAAAAAAAATGCTACATGAAAGTTTGAGGTAGCTTATCCCTTTGTTTTGCTGTACAAAGACAAATTGAAAGTGAGGTGAGGTGCCAACATTTGCCCAGTGTGTTTTTATTGCAGGTTATTAATGCATATCTGAACCTCCTGGTGAATGAATAAAGAGCATGCAGACAGATCTTTTGCTGTTGACATGTTTGAAATGACCAGTTTGATTTGTTGTTTTATTATCTTACAAATTTACCCGGGGATGTACAGATACATCGTGGGGGTCGTCAATGAAGGTCTTTTCCTTAAATATTTGATGTTAAACTCAAGTATTCTAGTCAACCATGCGTGGACACAATAACATTAAAACCATGACAACTTTACACAGAACAAGTGCAATGTTTTTTGTGTCTGTCTCAGGTACAGCATAGTGTGGGATTCAGAAGATAGGTCATTTCATATCTGTCTATATATATATGATTTAAGAAGGTATAGCATATAAAAGTTAATAAGAATGTCCAGGCGTAACTTTAAATAGTTCAAATCACACAAATAAATACTATTGCTGCAGCTTATTTGCCTACAGTGGGTGGTTCAACGTGTTCCTTCTCATGATAAACCCGTTCTTCATACATGTTTTTGCTGTACATATGTGAAACTTACCAAATAATTTAACTATTGCAGTATTTAGTCAGACAAACATTGCTTCTATATATTAAAAGACAATTATTACCCCCTAGTTTGTAGATGATTTGACTGACCTGTGTCATTAATGTGGGGAGCAGGATGATGACGCTCACTGGACATGCTAAAAAAAAAAAACTTACCTTGGCTGTATAACATGATGGCCTGCTTTGTAATCGGAGTCATTTGCAACCATTACTAACACTATTGTATAACTATTTCACCATTATTTTTTGGTTTCCTCTTTTGTCTTATTCTGATTGCTGACTACTGTGACATTTGCCCACACTGCTACCACAGGAGCTGCACCAAGAGGCCCTACACAAGCAAAAAATAAAAAATATAATAACCACCTGACTACTACTGTTGTGATATACATACACTTACATATATATTGTATATAGTTATACATAGTTTTTATTATTGTGTGTCCTATGTTTTATTTATGAAAGATAAGAGTACTTCCAGAGATGTACCTTTAGGGAGAAATCATATATCCACTGAATTAAGGTAGAGGACACCTGAAGTCTTTGTGGTTATGAGCCAAGGTAAAAATGAACTCTTGACAGTTAAACAACAACTTAAGCAGAGGAAAAACTCTGCAGCCTCACAGCAAGCGGCCACCTACTCTCTTACCAATATAGACCAGTGTCTGGCCTTTTTCCATAAGTGGGACCTACCATCTGCTTAGTTAACCATAGGGTGAGCTGAAAGAACACAAAACTCCTACAGAATAACAAACACTGATTAAGATGCCCCTGTTACTGCTTACACATTTGCACACACATGATGTTGTATGAAACACAAATAAAACTATGTACATAGAAATAAATCAAGCTTGGAAACTACTAATTTAATTTCAAATTATATAATTGCAGTTTCAGTTGTGATTGCACTCCTATATTAGTTTAGCGCTCCATGTTGGTTTCCTTCCTAACATCAATCTTATGCAATGCTACCCTCTACTGGACACTGCTTACACTTAAACCTGCTCGTCCACATTTCTCAAGCAACGTGCTGTATGCACATTATAGTATGTGCAAAGTTTTAGTATGAAGATGTATCTAGCTACATGTTCATTAAAGGATTTTAAATTTAATTGGCGTCTACGCATTGTTTGTCAGAACATTCAGAGGTCGAGTACATTTACATTCTCCACAAACATGACCATGAGTTAGGCTAATATGTTATGTAGCAGGTGAAATGATCAGAACTTGAGTACTCTGCCTAATATTTCAAATAAAGTGCGTTTAAAGTGGCCAACAGCGCAGTAAACTGATGTGCCACAAGATGTGGACATGAGCACCTGCCAGTAGCTGCTGCCAAATGTTCAGGCCACACTATTGGCCAGATGGCTGTGTGTGGCTCAACCAATGAAATGCTGTGAATACAAATGAATATGCAGCCAGTCCAAAAGAAAGACATTGCTGCGATGTAAATCTGCTTGTTAGATTCAAACATAATGGGGAATATACAGTACATTTGGCTTGTCAAAGCAGCCAAACATGAATGATAGATTAGGCATACGCGACTTGAATGGATTTAAATTAAAAATCTGTTGTTTTGCAGTCATCCTTCTCTGTAGTCATTTGACTGTATGTTAAAACATTCGTTAATGAAGATTTCATATTATATTAACACTAGTCACACAAAATCCTGCAGCTGCACATAAACCTAGTCTCAGGGCTCAAGTGCAAAATACCAGCCAATGGCAGAGAGCCCAAGTAAACCAGTGACTGGTGCAGAAAGTGGGGCATTTACACGGGAGAGGTTATAATATTTTAAATGGAGGAGGCAAGGCACCGCAAAAGACCAGGTATTGGACATAGTTGTGCATACACTGATATGTATTTTCATATCTGCAGTTAACTGCCACCTAGCGAACATGTGCAATAAATGTACTTCACACATTGCTCACTGTATGGTGATTATGACTTAATAATTATGAAGAATTAATACTTTCTTATTATTGTTGTTCATGTACATTCTGGCTTAATAAATCTGCACCCCTTAAAGAGTGTTTTGTTATTTACTCCCTGGCATGTGCCCTACATCTGCACTGTTTACAGCCGCTCAGAAACCACCCCGTCGGCCGCGTGCCTTCCGAGAGAGCAGGCTGAGCCAGCGACGTCACCGTGTTGGGATCACGTTGAACTGTGCATGCTGAGCCTTGCCGCAGCCGTAAGTACGACGCAAGCGCGCAACAAAAATAGCCCTGTGCAGGTTTTGGATCAACAACAGATGAGTCAACAAGATAGGGCGGATTTCTTGTGTATCCATGTAGATACTCAAAATAAACTAAAAAATATAGGCTTAGTAGATAAAGCCTATAGTAAATATAGGTCGCCAATTACCTTGGGAATAAATTAATTTAGCATTTACAAACCTGCATTTTGTAAGTATGAACAAAATTGCTGTTACAGGCAATACTTTAAGGAAATGATAAGAGGAATAATGCTTCAATGCACAATGTCTCCGCTGAAAGCTATACAAAGAAAAACATCAACACAAGATGAGCTTTTTCTCGAGTTTTCAGTATCTCACAGTATGGGGGACAAGATGTCCTGAAAAAAATCGAGACAGCCGAAATACGAGCAGTTGTCCCTAATCATATCCTATTAGTCCCGAAAATTAGACTAAACCTGAGTATTGCCTCATAAAGCATAATAGCCTATTGATCATTGTGAAACATTCTTGTGGTGTAGCCCACAGATGGCAACAGGCACTACAGGTTATCGTGGACACCGTGTCAACAGCAACGTTATAGCCACAAAGTAACAGGCGTGCATGCTGTTTTACCTTTTTGTGTACTAGTATGGTGGTTGAAGTTGCAGTGGAGGACACGGGGAGTATGGCTGCATGCAGCCACGGAGAGACTTCTTATCTGGTCACCCTAGCTCACAGTCTTCACCAGCTGCTTATAGTCGGAGATAAAATCGAAATTTAAAAAGTAGTATAATTAGTAGGAGCAGAAACAGCTACATGTAAATAATAAGTATTTGCCCATTAAAGTCAAAGTATAAACTTTATTATTTTACCATGTGCAAGGCACACAGACGATTCAAAGTGCGTTTCTCCTATGACCCACGGTAAATATAAGACAAAACAAATAACAGAAATATAAATTTAAAAGTCAAACAGTAATTAACAAATCATTTACAACAGTTAAACAAATCAAATTCTTTACAATCATTCACAATCAGTGCAATGACAGTAGTCATCAGGGTTGATGAGGAAGATCGACACTTAACATTAGCCTACTAGGTTTAGACCACAAAGGAACGCCTCTGAAACTGTAGAACTATAATAACATTAAATGTCATTGCGAGGCTACTACACGTATTACGGCCAGCCCAAGTAGGCCACATCTAGTGTGGGCTCGCGCCACGCCCTCCAATGTTCCAGTATGTTTAGAAGTGAACTCAGGAGCAGTCACACTGCAACGTGACCACCGAGCCCCGTGCCACTAGCCCCGCCCCTCCCAGCCTATCAAAACGCAAAGTGGGCGTGTCTAAGGCGGGGAAATCGCCTCATGCTGACCAATCACGGTGGCAGGTTCAATATTACTTGCCTGACCACGCACCGGCACGTGTATCCCTGCGTGTAAACTACCGTTGGAGGGGGAACCGAAATGTCTGGAGAGCAAATACAGATCGCTAAGCAAAGACAGTCGACGCTGACGGGATCTGTGCGCTTTCGTTGAGACTTTTCAGTACCTCATCGTGGGAATTTAAAAGCCTTTTGTCATCGTGAAGCATATCTAAGGTAAGCTGCTCGGGCTTGTTTTGTCTGTAGCTGTTGCTTTGTCGCTAGCATGCTAACGTTAAGTTACCCCGCGCTATCACTGCACCAGTGTGTCCTTAACGATACAAACTGCAACCTTTATTCAACTGCCTCCTATTATAGCCTTCGTGTAGTTTAATATGAGCTAAAAACCTTTTGACGGAATTGTCACCATATACAGGTAAAACTTGTGCTCTGTTTTAACCCTTAAATGTTGCGTCGTGCAAACGGACACTACAAATAAAAAAGCATTTATTAACGTTGTTACTTCTTTTGAGGTAGAAGAATTCAACACTACTAAATATCTAGAGACCTCACAACTATTAGTGTTCGTCTTTTATTATTATTATTATTGTTATTATTATTATTATTATTATTATTAAGTGAATTGATTAGTTTTGGTTCCTGTGTGTTAGACATTGCACAATCAGGGCTGACAGGTCCTTACTGTAACGTTACAGTATTTACCTTAAGCTCGCTACCGATTACATTAAACATGTTTTGTTTTGGCTATCAAACATAAACGTTAAAAACATGACATTATTTACCCTATTATTATTATTATTATTATTATTATTATTATTATTATTAAATGTATAAGTCTGGCACGCCACGTTTGATCCATTTGATCCACAGCAAATGTTTTCATATTGTAATCACACCAGTTTAAACTGTTCATCTAATGACTCCTCCTAATATGCACATGATGTGCCTTTGTACAAATTGCATGCCTCTAGCCAATCAAATGATGTCCCGTGATTGACAACTGTTGCGCTAATGCGTTTACTGCAGTAGCTGCATATCACCTAGACATGCTGCATCCCTGCACTCCTCTGTCCCCCCACCTCTGACTGGGTCTGGACTGCTGATGACATGTTGTAACGTTACCTGTGTTGGCCTTTAGTGTGCTCTCAGCCGACCACTTTGAATACGTGTGTTTTTGCACCTAGAGAGTGACAAGTAGGCATCCAAACACCGTCCTCTTGTGATGTACACCATTCAGTGGCATTTGTGAGAAAAGTACGTAGAATGTCCATGCAGCACTGTAGACGCTCTGTGTGGTATATATTCTGCTTTACAGAAAATATGTGGCACAATAGCTTATAGGAATCTGTGCAGATGCAACCCTGCAGGTTCCTGCAGATATCTCACCCTACTGAGTGCATGAGCGTGCATAGCAGCTGCACATCAACATCCAAAAGATTTGCAAAGGAATGTCTTGGACAAGGCTGTAAAAGGAAGATAAAAAGGAGGTCTTCCTCTCCCAAAGTGTGACCCTCTAAGAGTTGTGGGTGTGCATCATAAAGATGACTCTTCAAGTTTATGCATATGCAAATCAAACTTGACAGTGTTGACACTAGTGAGCAGTTATCACAGCAGCAGTTATCAGCAGATTTATGACTGAAGAGGTGAGATGGCTGGCAGCTGCGAAGGTGGTGTGATCCCCAATTAATCTGTGTGATCACATGTATGTCGGGGACTGACTGCGCAGGAGACGGGACAAGTGAACAGTGTATAGTTTCCATCACAACTATACTTTTTAAGTGAGAATGAGTGTACAACCAGCAGGTCTGGGCTTTCATTGGTAAAGTTCAGTGTGCCTCCTGTTTTGGCTTCAAGGGCGCATTGTTTGTGCCTTCAGAAAGTCACACAGCGTTTCCCATTAATCTCTTTTCCACTATAAACTGAACTAAACGGGTGAAAAACAAAAAGCTTAAAGCTAAGGAGGACAGGGAGCTTGGTGATAGAGGGTGTGTGTTGTGTCCTTGATGTTCAGAGACGACAATAAAATAATCAGGGATACCACACTTACCACGGCTGCTGGGAAATAGTAATAAGTGGGGAGTGGGGGTCGTCTGTCTTGCAATTTAAAATGATTAATCCCAAATTTGGTTGCAGGATTTGGAATTCAAAGAGGTCCTAGTCCTAGTTGTACAACTCCTACGATGTTTTTAGCATGAATTACTGTCATATTACTGTGATTTTGATACTCAAATGGAATATTTGGTGTTTCATCCTTCATTTTACTGTGTCAAGAGATGAGTCTGCTGGCAGGCTAACCAGATTGCATTCTTTATCATGTTAAATTAATCTGGATAGTGGATTTACGCTGTTCTGGTTATCTTTTTTTTTTGTTATACGTTGTCTCCCCCTGTTTAGGTCTTCATAAAAAGTCTTGTGAAAAGCATTTTGTCTCCATAATGTGTTATATTTATTGGGGAACACATTTTTAGGGATCAATTACAGAGAGACAATATTATTTCATAGAAGGGTGGGACATGATTCTTTAAAACATTTTACTGGTCGGGATAGTAATAGTTTTTGCTTTTATTACACCTATAACTTTGCTGAACACCAAAACTAAGGTAGCAGAATGCAATTACTAAAGTCTTTTTTTTATGGTTGTGGGTAGTTTTAGCCGAAACAATGAACATTTGTGTCACAACATGAGCCTACTGCCATTAGTCGAAGATCAAGGGACAGAATAAGCTGCTAACTTGTTACAGCTAGATTCAGTGAGAGAGAAAGTTGGCAAATAGTGTGCATGAAATGTGAATATGGTGTAAGGTTGCAATATTACCCGCCCCAAAAAATTCTGGAATACAGGAAGAACCAATAACTGGATAGTGCTGGTTGTGGTCTGCTCACAAATGCCAGTGCGAGTGAGCGTCCAAGCTGCAGAGCTTTGCACATAATCCAAGTTGTTAAAACTTAATGTTACAATAACCCAGTTGGAAGATTATGAACAGAGGGGGGCTCAGCAGCAGTGGAGCAACAGAGGAAGGTTGGAGCATATTCAGAGGTAGAAACTGCTGATTAGACCGTCAACTTGATTTCACTCCACTTCACAATCTGCATGTTTTTAAAATCAGCAAACATATGCCAGTTGGTGGAGGATTTAATCCACCCACCCATGGCAGAGATTGTGGTTGTATCCAGGTTTGTTTGTTTTTTTTTTTTGATCCTGGGGCATCCAACAATCCCCTCCTTTAATGGTGCCACAGAAGTTCATTTAACAAACTTAGACTTTAGAGTAATTGTATTGTAAGACATTGGGGGAGGCTTAAATATTGTTTCAAATTTCAGTTTTATAAATCATTAAAATGTTGTTGTTGGCATGGTATACTTAAGGAAGTACAACAAAGGCAAAGAAAATCACATATAGGCATTTAGCCTGTAATGTAGTGTAACCCTTTGTTTATAACAGTGTAATAACTTAATGTTATGTAATTCTTTCTACCCCCTTTAAGAAGTCATGTGGCCACGGTGTGAAGAGATAGGCCAGTTTTATGTACCCCCTCACCCCACCCCCCCTCGCATGTAAGGGTGGTGTCTTGTATATGTACAGTAGACAGAGTGCCCGGTCTCTCACAGGCCCTGGTCCTGAATCAGCTGGCGCACCTGCCCCCCACTCACATATTTGAGAAGAAAAAACCTCGAGGCAGAGCTGAGACCAGTCTCTGCCAGGCGGCTTTACAGGAGCCAGAGTCCCCCGTCGCAGACGGCGCAGCCTCTACTGGGCTCGCTCTCTCATTGGTCCGGCGAGCCGACCAATCAGCAACCGGCTGGGTTCGCGGAAAGCACGGCCGCGTACACGTGCAGAGGTGTGTACGCAGGGAAAGCGAGGCTGCGCAGAGCTGCTGCGCAAGCACGGTTAATTATAAACGGGACAATTGCCTCGGATGCTCAGGCCGGCGACGGAAATGAAACGGTACTACTTTTTTCTGTAACAGTGGATGAATCATAAAAACATGTCGCGTTGTGGGGCGTTGTGATGGCGCTGAGAAGTAACACACAATTTCACCCACGGAGCCACGCCACACCTTCCTGCAGCCTCCGTCTGCACAGAGCAGTAGGGAAGTGTTTCACATTGTCTTGTTTTGTTCAGGCGTGTCTGTCTTTTTTTGACTTAGTACTTTTATACAGACATGATATCCTGTCATGTGCTCAATGCTCTTAGGCTGTATACTGATTGTTTCTGCTATTGATCAATCTGCGAGCCCATCAGTGTTTCCCAGAGGCCAAGGTGATGTGAATGGTGTGCATGACATGTGTAATAGATTGTAAATTGCATCATGGTGCTAGTTTTTGGCCTGGAGAGTGTGCCTCCACTAACGCAGGTGAAGTTACTGGACACTGACAGGTATAATAAAAACTAGTCTCCAACAAAACTGTTCTGCTCTCAGCCCTAAAAAAGGAATTGATGTCAGGGTTCTGATGAATAAATACTGAGCAGAGTAGAGCTGCAACTAATGGTCGTTTTGAGTATTACTTAATCATTTAGTCTATTAAATGTCTGAAAATAGTGAAATGTAGCCATTAGACGTCCACAGTTACATTTCAGACAACATTTAAAACATCTCAAAATCCAAAGACTGTTTACGCTTTTTCTTTTTCCTTACTGTGCAGTGACAAACTGGAACTAGGAAATGTTTGACATTTTTGTCAGCTGGAATATGACATCGCAACGCAACCTTGAATTC